CCCAAGGAAACTTTGACGGTGTTGCTCACGTACGTTGTGAAGGGGGCGTGTAGCCCTGCGGCGGCGACTGCGCCTGGGAGTAGCCGTACTGCCCCGGCTGCAGCGGCCTGCCGGACGGACAGCCGCGGCCGAAGCCGTAGCCGTTGCCGTACTGGTACCCCTGCTGCTGGTGCGGGTGGTAGCCTTGCGGCGGGTACTGGGTGAAGTAGGGCGGGCGGTAGCGGTGCTCCTGCAGGTACGGCGCAATGGTCTGGTCGACGAAGTCGGTTGTCTTGTTGAGCAGGTTGCGGACGGTGGTGCTGCTGAAGATGTTGCCCGACGGGGGCTTGGCGGGCGGCGCGGGGTGGTAGTTGGCGGGCCGCGGCGGGGGCGGGCCGTATGGATTCTGCGGCGTGTTGTTGGTGAAGCCCTGCTGTGTCGGGGTGGATGTCCGCGGCGGGAGGGGAGGCGGGGTGGTGTAGCTTTGATGCCCGTTGACGTAGGACGGCTGCGGGACGGGAGGTTGCGGACTGTAGGGGTATTGTTGCGGCGGCGGGTGGTTTTGGTTTTGGTTTTGGACGCCGATGTCTGCGGGAGAATAGGGGTACGATGAGGAAGAGGAGCCTGTTGGGTTCGGGGAGAGGGGGCCCATTGATGTTGCGTGGGACGAGGCCGGGGAGGAGGAGGCGTTTGTCGGGCGCGGGAGGGAGGAGATTGCCTGGTCGTAGGAGGGGGGCGGCGAGGCGTAGGCGGATTGCTGGGGTTCTTGGGCTGTGGACGCTGCCGGGCTGTGTGTTGCGGACGAAGCGGTGCTTGGGCGGGCGTAGGACGGCTGCTGGGGGAAGTAGGAGCCCAAGGGGAGTGTGGGCGGCAGCGCGGCCTGGACTAGGACGGGGCTCACGGGCGCGGCGGAGGTGTAGGCTTGCTGCGGAGGAGCCTGTGAGTATCCTGTGGGTGGTGAGATGACGGCGGCGTATGGGGTTTGCTGTGGCGACGGGGCGGTGGTGGCTCCCGTGTGGATGGGGGAAAGGGGCGTGACGACCGCAGTCGAGGGCGTCGTCGCTGAGAGCGGCCTGGGAGGAGAGGTGCTCGGTGGGCGGGGGTGGAGCGGCAGCGTCGTCTGAGCAGCAGCGCCTGGGGACGGGTGCCGGCCTGGGCTGACCGGGCTATGCGGCGGATACGTCCCGGCCGGTGGGATTGGGTATGTGCCGGCCGGCGGTATCAGCACGGGGGAGGTTGCAGTGGGGACCGGGGGCGGTGGCCCGGTTGGCGGCTGGGGCCGGGAGATGTTCAACGGCGCCGGGGCCAGCTGGTCCGAGTCGTCGTCGCCTTCGTGCGCACCACCCTGTTGGTTCAGGGGTGGTGGGGGCGGCTCCGAGAGCACGGTGCCGGCCGGCGGTGTGCCCCCTGGCGAGCCCCCTGTCGCTTTCTGCTCCGGCGAGGGCTGAGCTGAGCCGGGCCCAGTCTTGACGATTCTCAACGGCTTCACGGAGAGCATTTCGTCCTCGTGTCCTTCTTTGCCGGGACCTGGCGGTGGTGGTGTCGAGGCGGTAGGGGGAAGGGGGTCGTCTTCTAGGAAAAAGCCCCACGGATTCGCCTGCGGAAGCGGCTTCTGCTGCGCGTCGCTCACGCTCACGCTCGGCGACGTACTCGCAAGCCCGGCAGCGGGCGACGATGGCCTCGCAGACTGGGGCCTCGCAGGGGCAGCGGCCTCAGCGGACATTTCGAATACAGGGAGCGCTGCTGCTGCTCCTCCATTGTGGGTGGCGGATGACGATGACGTCGGTCTCGGTTTCGGTGCTTGCGGGGCCTCTAACTCGGCGAGGAACTGCTGCTGGGGCGCTGGGGACGTCGGTTTCGGGGCGGCATATTGCGGTTGCTGCGGCGGGAAGAAGTACTGCGTTTGCTGCGGTGGTGAGTATGCTGCGTATTGTGGTTGTTGATACTGCTGCTGCTGTGACGGCGATTGCGACTTTTGTGGTGGTGGTGGTTGGACGTAGTATTGAGGTTGTGGTGGTGGTGAGTAAGGCGCATAGCTGTGCTGTTGTTGCTTCGGGGGTCCTTGGCCGGTGCCCATCTTTGCCTCTCTTCTCATCCGTGTATCTCTCTCACGCACACACACACACACTCTCCCGGGTTCCTTCTCTTGGTCCTCCTTCAATGCGTTGCTGGCGTGGGTATCTGAAAGTCCTTTGGCGCGCAGCTTCCCTGGTTGGATTTGAGTTGTAGAAGATGAAGAAAGTAAGAGTAAAGGAGAGAAGAAAGCTTGGCTTTTTTCGCGCGGGATAAAGCCAAATTATTTTAGCTTCCCAGCCCAGCCGCAGCGCCGCCGCCGCCGCCGCCTTCTCTTGGCCTAGCGCAGCTGAAGGATTTCGGGTACCCAGTTGGGTAAGTGAAGGTCTTCAAATGACGAACCGACGAACTGGGCTTCCTTCGGACTCGGACGGCCGGGGGAGGGCCAGCAGTTCCCCCAGTGTCCAGTGCACCTGAACCCACTATGCGCAGCGTTTAGGCAGCTAGACAAGCCTTCTCAAAGCGCGCGCAGCAAGCCACGGACACGGGAAGATGCAGGGGTTGAGGGGGGGAGATTATTGTGAACATGGGGCAGCGGGTAATTTTAGAGGGCTGATGCTTCCCGTTTTTTTTTCCCCAAGGGTCCTGGGCTGTCTGAATTCAATTATTGGTTTTGTGTTGGCTTGGGAAAGCACGGGAGGTGGGTAAAGCTTACTGAGTTGAGTGAGTGACCTTGAACCCCGAGAACCCATGTCTGAGCTCAGCCTTCTTTTTGCCTCCTACGTAGGACACGTCGGTGTGCTGAGCCTGCACTGCAATCTTGCTGCCTGTCCGCGTGTTGCAAATCCAATTTTGTTGCTGCGGCCTGCTGTGCCCTGGTTTTTTTGGTTTTTTCTTGCCAAACGCGAGATTGGCGGTGGGAAAGCAGGAAAGCGCAAGAGAAAGCGAACGGGAGAGGAACTTGGAACCGCCCCCGGCAGGGAGATGATCATCAGCGCATGCCGTCACGGGGGAGCTGTGTGATTGGGGGGATGAACGGGTTCGTTTGGTGCTAGGGCTGAGAGAGAGAGAGAGAGAGAGCGTGTTTAGCGGCGCAGCTTGAGGCGGGGATGGCTGCCCGAGCTGAAAAGACCATGCTGACGGTGTCTCTGTGTGACGTGACGGTGAGTGTGCCTAGGTGACGATGATTGGATGTCTTTGACAACAGATCGTGATCACGTTGGTCTTGGATTTGTGCTCCTTCCTTTGGCGAATCACTTGAAGATTTAGTACTTTACACAGAGCCAGCCCTTGGTTTGCTGTAGTTAGTTGCGAAGTTGTTTGCTGGGGTTCCCACGTTAGAAACGGGTACGGCACGGCAGACCGGCATCAACAAGGTTGGTGCTATTTCCTCCATCCCTTACTTCCTGGCCGATTGCATCGGCCCCCCATCCGCTTATTGTCCGCGGACTCGGAGCCGTCCGCCCGCTTTGCCGGCTGACTCCGTAAACTCCGGGCAACAGGTATGTTTACTGTGACTTTTTACCTAGAACTTGTAGACAAATGCAACAATCTCCAACTTGCTTCCCAACTGACGGCCACTGATCACGTGACCCCCTTGCGTATAACATCGTCGACAACCTCATCTCTTTCAAGGTTACTTCAACGACTGCTTCACGGCTTTGACTTGGGTAGATTGCTACTAGAGTAGACGTTCTTTCGATCTTTTCGACTCCCAACCTTCACGCACATCTAACGATGTCGGCGGCATGAGAATCATGTCTACCTGGCTTAGCCGCAGCGCTCTGATTGTATGTGCCTAATTCAGCGGGAGTCTCTCAGAGTACTTACCTCCTACATCATTGGAATAGAGTCTTGCGAGCCGAATAGATAATTACCTATAATGGGTCCAACAACCTATTTCATCTACCAATTCTTTCATCCCTATCGTCCCTGTCGTCCCTGTCGTCTCTGTCCCTATCCGTCTTCCTATCCCTGTCGTCGTCTCTCGTCGTCGTCGTTGTCGTCCCTATTTTCGTCTATGCCTACTACCCGCCTCGGTAGCGAATCATTCTGGAGTAAATCAAACTCTCCTTCAGACACCACTGCGTTAATCAACTGCGCGCATTGAGCTCGGGAGTGACGTCCCTGATTTTACCCTGTTACGGGCCAAAGCCCCTTCTCGGGCTCTGCCAGAGCCTCGGAATTGCTTTCCCGCCGTGTTACTTCGCCAGGGTTCCGGGAGCATACAAAGAGTGCTGAGGGTCCTTTGACAGTACGCTGCACATAGATAGGCAGAATCAAGTGCCAAGATAGGAACTCTGCCGCATCTCATTAAGGAACGGCCACTCCGCTCCGGGGGCGGGTCACTCCGGCGCGGGCCACTCCGACCCGGCGCCACCGGACCCCTTTGCACGTTGTATTGTCTGGGAATCAATTGATATCATCTAGCAACAGGAACGTTTGAAGCTGATCGTTGTTGACTGAAGCTGCCTATTAAAGGATACAGTGCCGCGCATGATGTGAAGGCATCCACTTGCTCTGCGTGCCGCAGCCACGTCTTCCAACTACTTGTCAGTCCTTACTTTGCAGCAATGTCTCCCACAATTCGCTCTTTTAGGTCGGGGACGCTACGGCTGTTGTTCTTGTATCTATCATTAATTCGTTTTGCACCAGCTTTTGGGGCAGTCCTCACTCCAGCGACTAGAAATGCGCTCTCTTCCCGGCACGATCTCGCCAAACGAGTGAAGCAACCGTTTCCATCGTTTTCAGATACCTACGAAGGCCGTGTTCAAAAGGGCCAGTACCTAAAGGAACTCCTCCCACTGAGTCCTAATCAAGCACAAGAATTCAATGGCGGTGTCACAGTTGCCAGCCCATTCCAAAACTCGAATGAGATGATTAGGTGGGGATGGTCGCCCACCCCCAATCCCTACCCGTACATGATGAGCAGTCACCGGCCTGCGTTCAAGGACGCCCTCGACGAGGCATTCAAAGACCCAAATTATCCTGTCGATCCAACGCTAAATATGATTTGGCACGTTCTTCACGATCGCCCGTTCAAGCTAGCGAACGGTCAGTTGGGACAGGTAAGGCTCAACCACAAGAGTCTAGATTATTGACCATGTACACTAACATATGCTGTATCTCGTAGCCGACACTTGGGAAGTATTCAAATGTTGTCAACCCAGAGGATGGCGCGTTCATTTTCGATTCAAACTTCAGTCCTTCTTGGGCTAAAAAGGAGATAGGGCGTGGAGACGTTCCAGACTTGGATACCGTGTCCGACATTGCCTACTTTCAGTGGAAGGACGGCTGTTCAGCTAAGGGTGCTGACATTAAGGGTCTAAAGGTCGTCTTCCGATCACACGTTCTTAACGATGAGACTTTCCAGATTGTCGTGGAAGCTTTACGTAGAGGAGGGCACCCGAAGATCCCTACCTGGAACGAACGCATCACGTTTTCAATGGACACTGAGGAGGGCTTTGCAATTCTTGGGGGTGTTCATGGGGTCTCTACGGCCTGGATGCTCATCCAGCACAAAGAAGAACTGGGCATGAAGAACATTAAGGAAGTGGTAATATGGGCGTCATACGCAAGCTTAGACTTGACCGGGAACTCGACTCTGAAACCGGACCAGGCTCACCTGAACTTGAGATTTACGATTGAAGACGCTTAAAGAATAGCAATGTGGAAGAAGTTACGAAAGACTGTTATAATTTGTATGCAAGATTCACAGCTGAAGTGCTCACTTGGGTTATGTGATTGATTTCATCCCACTCGATTTCGGGCACTCTTATTGACACCGATGTCCGCAAAGCAAGATTTGGCTAACAGCCGATGCTTCGCCCAAAAGTTAAATCAAGGCTAGCTACTATATCCAAACTTCTTAAAATCCGATCGATCGACAATAGTCAACATCTACAGCTCGTCCGATCGACCCCAGTCAGCCTGGCCCCCCTCCCCCTCAACCCTCTTCAACTCCACCCCAAAAGCCACAGGCACAACCGTCTCAACCCTCCCATCATCCCCGTACACAAACTCGAAATGGTCAAGCGCCTTGTACCCGTACGTGATCCGGTCGACAGTGCCCCAGCTGAGGCAAGACGCGTTGGCATAGAACGCCTCCCTGTCAATCGCCTCCCGCTGCTCCGGCGTGAAATAGTCAAACACAGCCCTCCACGCCTCCCTCTTCTCATCCCCAGACCTCAGCCCCGTGGGATACGCCCTCGCCGTCACGTTCGGGTTCGGCTCCATCCCCGTCTTGTTCAGCCCCGTGTGGCTGTACCGCCCCAAGTTCGGCACAACCTCGAACCCCCTCACAACCCAGTCCTCCACGCGCACCCCCCACCCGCCGTCAACCCGCAGCGTCACCGCCGACCCGGTCCCCGCGTCCTCAAACCGGCCCGCCACGCGCGCTGCCGCCTCCTCCCGCGCGGCCTCGTCCAGCGCGCGCACGAGCCCCGGCAGCAGCGCCCACAGCTTCCACTTGTAATACGCGGGCGCGACCGCCGAGATTTCGGGCCCGGCCGCGAGCACGGAGACGGTCAGGCCGTACTCGGGCAGCAGCGCGAGGCCGGCGTGGTAGTCGAAGATGTCGCCGCTCTTGGCGTACACCTCGACGGGCCGCCCGCCCGTCAGGTTGGCCGAGAAGAGGCCCTCCCACGGCTTGCCGACGAACTCGCTCGGCGAGGAGGTGAAGGTCGACGGCTTGAGCCAGCGGCGCGTCTTGGCCGGGGACAGCAGGCGGTGGCGGAGGATGGCGTCGCCGAAGCGGAGCATGTCGCGGATTGTAGAGTACATCCCCCCGGCCCTGTTTCTCTGTCAGCCTAACGATGATACTTCATGTAGACCGGCGTTGGGCAACACTTACGGGGCAAAGACTCCCAGATCCCAGTCCCAGATGGTGTTGTTTTCGGGGATGAACAATGTCGACAAGTCCTCGGGGGGATGGGGGTACGTCGTGGAGGGCATGCCCGCGGGGTCGAGGATGAGTTCCTGGAGGACCTTGTCGAAGGGCTTCCCGGTGGCCGCCTCCACGACGAGCCCGACGATGGCTATGCCAGTGTTGGAGTAGACGGGCGTTTGGTAGGCTGGGTAGACTGGCGGCCGGCGGTTCTTAAACACCTCGATAAAGTCTGTAGTATGATGAGCGTCTCGTGCCTCCTACCGGCAAGACTTGAGATCCAACAACTCACCCTCCATAGCACAAGGCCGCTGTCCAATAAACCCACCGCATTCCGGCTTCTTCTCCAGCGGAGGCAGGCCAAGAGCCTCCCAGTCGCCCTCATACTGTCCCCGATCCATCATCACTGCACCCGGTCAGCAAACTTTCCCTCTCCGACCCCCAGGACGTAACCACCACTCACTGTCAGCCCCGATCCCAGAAACATGCACCGCAACAGCCTCGACCGTAACCTCATCCCACTCGACCTCCAACCCATCCATCCCCCCCGCCGCCCCCTTCAACGCCGGGAGGAACTTCGTAACCGGGTCATCCCACCTTACCACATCATCCCTCTGCAGCGCCGCCAGCACCGTGAATACCTTACTAACGCTCGCGAGCCGGTAGACGGTGTCCTTATCCACAGCCTGCGCGCCGCGGGCATCGCGGCGCGGCGGGGTGTGGTGGATGTCGAGCAGGGGCTCGTCCTCGAGGGCGGACTTGACGCCGATCGACACGGCCGAGGTTGCGAACTCCGCCGTCTCCTCCTCAAGAGAGGTGCGGAAGGTCGCGAGGGCGCGTTGGACGGCCGGGTGGGCGGACGGGTTGCGTGCGGCGGGCAGGACGGGGCCGAGGGGCGGGCAGGTGTAGGATGCTGCGGCTGCGAGGGGGATGAGGGCTGAGGGGAGGAGCAGCAGGCGCATGATGACTGTTAGACTAAATAATTGTTCTTGTGTGTTTTCGTCGTTGACTCAGTTTGAATCGGTTTCTGCAACGACGAGACTAGAGGAGTACTTAATATACTCCTCGATCAAGGATGAAAGAACATGCTTGAAACAGTTGCAGAGCTTCACTTCTCGTAATAAGAAATGAGTCAACCATTCGCAATGCGTGCGACTTACCCCAGTCGAGATTCGGGTCATTTTTACATATCTCACCTTCCAATCCCAGCTTGGCGTCATCTGGCAAAAGATCCAAATCCACGAATTCAAATCACCCTATGTCCGCACAAATCACCCAACCCAGCGACCACAATCAAGGGCCAAGAAGAGGAAAGAAACGTCTCCTCTGTCCTTGGACTCACGCTACTACATGGTTAATCCACTTGTGTAGCGAATAGCCCCTCACTCTCGGGTCAGCAACGCGAATCGCTTGCGAGTTCTCCCTAGCAAACTTGCATCTACAGCGCAGGAACTGATCTGGCGTGGCTTATGCAGTACCAAAGTACCTTATTTCTCGTAGGCGATACGATGCTAATTTGTAAGAAATACTCTTGATTGACAGAACCCCGCCTACTGTGGTGCATCTTGCGTGCTTACGATGACGTTGGCTGACGCGCCAACATCCATTCTAATGGTGCTATTACCTTCCCTCCAAAGCTTTTACATGAACTCTCACGGTGGGTTGAAGAAAAGAAGAACAAAAATGGCGCACAAACTTTGTGGGCGGTTGGTCACAGACACACGCAAAGACATCAAGTTGACGTGGGAATCGTTATAATTCTCATCCGAGGAAAACAAAGGTGATCTCGCACCCCTATATCGCGAGAGATCCCTCTAGACAAAGAACAACATCGAAGAAAGTCTGTTCCCCACAGCCGTGGCCTCAGAAACTTCTAACTGCCTTCCTTTCCAAAGCGTCAGAAAATAAGAAGAAAAAGAAGAAAATAAAAACAAGAAAAGCTTTCTTGACTCTCTCTCAGCCACCCGCACGCCCTCCGAAAACGCCTTGCGGTCCGCGCATCCTAATCCTTCATTGGCTCTCATGCTCACGTCCCGGTATCGCGGGGCCAAATAAAAGCTAGTTGTAAAAACGTGCAGAATAAACACGTGGCCCCTAGGCCCAAGAGGACTCTAGATGGATTTTGCCCCTGGCAACATCTATCCAACCCCGAACATAGGGCCGCTGGAGCCCTCACCTTCCTCCTCGTTATTCGTCCCATCCAAATATTTCCATCCATCCCATGTCAGACCTTACTTCTCCATATGTCCATCGTTGAGAAGCATCTCCAAGACAATCTGCACGCCATGTTGCTCAGGATGGCTCATGGAAATCTTGACCGTTCCCTTGGAGTCTTCTCCCGCCGGCGTTTGGCCGCCGAGCCAGTTGTTCTGCTGGTTGTTTGTCGCGTTGCCGCCCGTCGGGCCTCTAACACCGAAGTCGAGGCAGCGAACATCGCGGCCAGCAATGATCTGTCTGAGGCGACCGTTCTCGGCGTTGCGCACCTCCACATAATCTCCGTTGAAGAGGAGCAGGTACTGTCCGTACATTGTCGCACTCGTAGCCTTCTTCTGCTTGCCCGAGTACTCCATGATGAGAGTGCGGCTCACATCGCCGTGCTTGTCAACGTAGACCGCGCAGTCCTCATACGCCAACAGGAATTCCTGGTCATTCAGCTTGAACATGCCGAGTGGCCTTTGGTCTCTAATTCTGCTGGCGATGTTGGCAATTGCTGGTTGCTTAAGGTCGGGGATCGACATCGTCTGTTTCTTGTCAAGAGTGAGCAGCTCGAAGCCCTTCGCAGTAGACACCGCGATGTAGCTTTGGAAGAGGTTTAGAGAGTAGCACTCTGTCGGCAAATAGAACTCGTCGTAGTCGCGGAACGAGTCGGTACTGCCCTTGATGCCTCTGTGCCCACCAAACAGCCGCGATCTCTTCTCTGAGGCTTTCTGAAATACCGGCTCAAGCACCTTGAAGGTGTTGTGCATACCCTCTCTTCGCTTGAAGAAGACGAGCATACGCTCCTTCATGCGAGCCGTGGCGAAGAATGCCACGTCCTTGGCTAGCCTCTGAGGGGCACGCCTAGGGTTGTCGTGAGCGGGAGCAGGGAAGTTTGATACTGGCGCAATCACATCCAGCGGATACGCAATCAGGGATCGGTCTGCAATGATGAGGCAAACCGAAAACTCCTCAAGCACTGCTATTTGTGTGACCCTTGAAGTTTGTACGCTCTATTTATCGTTAGCATCGATATCTCAAGAATTGCGACAAGCTTCACTTACCCTCATCCATCCGCGGGGATTTGTCGCGTCAGAGATGTACACGCCGTAGTCTGTTCCGATGGCAATGATGGACTTGCCAAATGCGTTGAAACCACAAGCACAGTTGACCTGCGCTCGACAAACCGGAGCAGGCCCCCTGCCAGGTCCGTAGACCTCCTCAATCTCACGGACAGCGCGATCGAGCGGGGTACCCCGGATCGGAACGCCTGGTTGCCTTCCAACAGCAGACGCCGCATCATATACGAAGGCGCTGTCGGCAAGCACTCGAAGGCGGAAGGGCTCAGCGTTCTGCGAGAATAGCGCCTTAGCATGGCGCGTCTTTGCCTCGATGATCTTCTCAACCCATTCCGCTCGGGCTTGTGACGATGTAGCATAGAGAGTGTAGGTCTCGTGACCGAGATGCTTGATCTTGAAGGGGTAGAGGATTTTGCCTTCGGGGTCGGTAGACAAGGATGGCGTGAGTCTTGCGGTAGAGGTCGAACCTATTGATGAGCTCGTAGCAACATGCTCCAGGCCCGGGCGCTCAGTGCCGTTAGACGTGATCTTGTTGAGCCTGGGATCTGATCCTCCTGCACCAACTCCGGTCCGGGCCAGGGGGGCTGTGATGCCTTTTTGCTTGGAGATCGGATCGTCGTTCATCGTATCCAGGAACAGCAGGGGCATTGGAATTGGTTCCTTTGACACATCGTACTTCTTCTCACCCCTGCCGTCCTTGGGGCTGACTACCTTGGCAAGGATGAAGTAATGGTCAAACAGCAGCGCGTGCGTGTCGACCCATCTGACACCCTTGGAGCCCATTCTTTGCAAATCGCCTTGCTTAATAAGCTCTCTGCCCAGATGGTCAAGGTTGAGGACTGAATGAAAGCCGGGTCTCAGGACGAGCATGGAATTGAGTTCCATCATCTCGACCTTCTTCTGCATCTCCGCGACCTTGGTGTCACACTCCATGGTAACGTTGCGGATTTCTGCGATTGCCCTTGCGAGATTCGCCTTCTCCTCGTCATCGCGAATGGACTTCTTCTCAACGGTCTCGAGGAGCAAAGAGTATCTTTGCAGACGAGTGATCGGGGTCTTGAGGAAATGCTGCCAGCCCAGACGCTCAGAGCGCTTGTGCTTTTGTACTTGATCAAGGAAGTTGCGGAAGAGAAGGTTACGATCAGACTCTTTCCGCACCATGTACTCGGCATAAGGGAACTGGGACGCATAGTCAATGTACACATCGCGAGCCTTTCGGATCCATTCGCGGAAGAGGTCCGAAAAGCCTGTGATCCAGGGGCCCTGCTCTTGCTGTCGGTACTTCAGTTGCGCAAGGAGATTATCCTTGTTGACGATTTGGACAGCATCCGCCTTACCGAACACAACTTGAAGGAACTTATCAATCTTGTTGGGGGGAATGATGGGCGGTTGACTGTTGCGTAGGTGGTCCCTGTAGAGGACGCGAAGGACCTCGAGCTGGTTGACGAACAATTCCTCGCTGTTGACGATTTCGTGAAGAACGTGTTGGCGTTCAACTTCCTTCTTCGGCTTCTCTGCCATGTCCGCTTCCTGAACCTTATAATGGACGTTCCAGTCAATAGCCTTGACCTCTTCGAGCAGCACCTCGTCCAAATTGGCTTTTTTCAATGTCCTCATGCAGTGGTACGAATAGCACCGGCCGCTTTGAGATTCATCGTCGTGCAGCTTGGACGCGTAGCAGCCGGTGCCCGTCAACTGGGGCAAGACTCCGGAAATCTGCCCGGTTCCAAACTTGACCCACTCTTCTTCCGGAACTAAGACACCGGCGTCCAGCATCAGCTGGGAGACGAGCGTGCTCAGAAGCTCAGCATCAGCCACGTTAATCGTAGGAACCTTCGCTGTGAAGAGCTTCAACAACGCTTCCTCGACCGACTTTTGCTTCAAGTCCGGTTCGCCGTCGGCCATTTCCCGGATCCAGTTTGCGATTCCGCTCAGGGCCCACGGTTCTGTACACCTCTTGATGTCGCCCGATGTCAACTTGGACGGAACAAATTTCCTCTTTCGGCCGCTTGGTAATGTGATCATATCATATGCCATCGAAGAAGGTGTTCCGGTATCTGAGTAGGCATCGTAAGGTAGTCCTTGCTGTGCGGCAAGCTGCTGCTGCTGCATTTGGTGTCTGGCCATCTTCCTCCGCTCTTCAGCCGCGTCAGTTCGTGATCGGGTCGGCGCCTGCACCTGAGGGGTATGGCTGTGGCTTGACAGGGAAATAGACCGCTCAGGGAATGGTGATTGTAGAGAGTTGACTGTTGTCGTGCTCTGTTGGTAGTAATCGGAGCCGTCGTGATAGAGCGTGCGGGAATCGGTGCTGAGCGAATGGGAATGGTAGCTGCGAGTGGTTTGCTGTACGGATAGTAAAGAGCTTGTATCGCTACCCGGGCCTGGCGGCAGCGCTGGAAGTGGCCTGTTCGTAAGTCCGGGATGGTAAAAAATGTCAGGGTAGTCCTCCTTGTACGGAGACTCGCTACCGCTCTGCTTGGAGTTGAGTGATACCCGTTCATCGCCCTCGTCGAAGCTTAGACGGTGAGTAGTTGGAGCTTGCAGACCGCCAGTGCCGCCATAGTCGACTTCGGCCTGTCTGAAAGCGGGAGCTTGGGAGTAGTCGTTCGGGTTGGGCAGCGGCCTTGATCCATCTCGGGGCGGTGATCCCATTTCGTCGCCGTACGCCAAGTTTCCAGCATAACCACCCGAAAGTGCACCGAGGTCCATGCCGCCAAGATCCGTACTGTCGCTCTGCTCCTCGGGGGTAGGTTGGAACTGAGTCAAAGCCGCGGGGGCGGCATCATAAATCGCTGCCATGTTGCTGAACCGCCGGTCTTCCAAGTCGGCCTGTTGCATGGCCAGCAACCCCGCGGTTCCCTCTGGATCATCATCGTCTTCATCGTAATCGACCGTGAGGGTAGGGTTGCTTCTGTTCGGAGCGGATGGATTCATCGATGCGAGGTCTGAGTTGTAGCGTCGTAAGCCTGAGAGTTCGTCGTCGGAGAATTGACCGTTGACAGGTATGGGTCGGTGTCGTCCGCCCAGTTCCGCCTCAATGTCTTGCATAATGTTGGCCTGCAGCTGGGCTTGGTCCTCGTCGGTGGGGGTTGCGGCGCTCGGGTCCCAGGTCGGCTCCTCCATCGGCCGACTGGGAAGAGGGGCGTTGGTGGGATGTCGTTGCAGACCAGGAGAGTGTTGCGGAATCTGCGGCGAGGAAATCGGGGAGGCTGCCGAGTCGGACCGTGTGGACCTGTTGTAGAAGGAGGTAGGATCGGCAGAGTAATTTGGCCCGACAGGCATCTGTGACTGCATCGGATAGGGGGCCGACGAGGTGTCTGATACCGCATATGTTGAGCCAGTACCATTTGTCCCGTACGCACCGTAATTGTCGCCGTAAGACTGCGAGTATGACTGCTCGTAAGCCGGGGCTTGCGAAGCTCCGGAGGCCTGCATCGACTGAAAAGTGGAGTTGTATGAAGCGGGAGGCGACTGAAAACCGGAAGAGGGCTGTGAGTTGGTCGGGGAGCCGTAGCTCTGGCTGTAGTTGTTGTATCCAGAATATGTCGGCTGCCGCTGGGGTGCCGAAGAGGTGCCCGCGTAGGCGGCCGGGTTGTAAGCAGGCGGCGTGTAGCTGGAAGCGGCGGGAGGAGTGTATGAAGTCGGCGAGGTGGCAGACTGGAATCGGTGCGACGGATGGGGGAGGTATGGCAGGCTCGTTGTCGCTGAGGCCGTCGACGGCGTTCGCGCAAAGGCCTGGGGGTTGTATGTCGAGTGAGACGATGTGGGAGGCGACGAGGCTTGGTACTGATGTTGGTAGCCGGACAGGGCATTGTTTGTCGAGCCGTAGCTGTGACGACCTCCAGAGTGGCTCGATCCAGTCGGACTGGTCAAGAATAATTCGTCCTCGCCCCTCGAAGATGTATGCTGGTGGCCCTGGGGAGGCTGCGCTCGGTTCTGGTCAGACATGGCGGCGTCGTCCCCGTTGTTGAAACTCGGGCGTCGGCCGAGGTAAGACTGATCTTGCGACTGGTCGGCGGTGGGGTACTGCACCGGGGGCACATGGCCATACCGACGCTGGCCGTCGCGAAATGACATGGCGATCGCGAGCGGGGATGGCAACGATGTCGAGAAATTGTTCGTGGAGTCAGCCTCTGCCGCAGGCTACTGTGTCGACGGAAGCGGCGTGTCGGGGAGGGTTCGTTGCATCTGATCGAAGCAAGCTCGAGCGAGTGACAGTTTGCTGCACAATGTGCCGCTTATTCAAAGGTTCGGTTCGGCATGCGCCCAGGACTGGGTCTCTGGTGAGTCGGGGATGATGTTTGATGAAGCGTAAGGATGAGGTTGGTCGCTCGTCCGGGTGATCGCGGGGTGAGCCTCGTGGTTGCTGGTGGTGCGGCGGCGCAGACGGGGCCTAGCAGGACTGACGTCTTTTGGGTGCGGCCCTCACAGCTCTGGGCAGTGATGTGCGGCGGCCGCGGGTTGGGGAAGGTCGTTGGGCTGATCGGCGTAGGACTGAGGCAGCGGAGGCGGCCGTCGCACGGCGAAGGAAGACTCCACGGCAGGACGTAAAAGGCGATGGGAATGAATGACAAGAGCAATGCAAAGCCGCAAATTCTGGTGCGGTGTCGAAAGATGTTGGGCGCTGCAACGAGCGTAGCCGTCGTCAAGCGGATGGCGAAGAGGAGCGATGCGGTGCGGTGCTGTAGAGGCAGCTCACAGTGCGGAGCGTCTGCCTAAGCTGGGCTGCTGGTCACTGGCTGCTGGCTGGCTGCTGGCGGCGAGAGCGACAACCAAGCCACAATACCGGGGCTGGAACGTCGTCACAGACCGGGGAAGTCGCAAGGTCAGCGTCGTCGGGTTTGGCTTTTGGGGCTGGCGGTGCAGGTGCAGCGCGTAGGGACGACGACGACGAGGACGACACAAGCAAGGCAATGCCCGCGTTCCCAAGGATGGTGCCAGGCGCTATGAGGCCTCTGCTTCTTTTTGCGGGTTGAAGTGAGGTGCTGACAGTGAGAAAAGGTGCAGCGAGGCGAGTCGCACACTGGCCGTGTTCGTCGTGTGTTTCGTCCTCGGGTCTCTTTCGGTGTGGTATGGTGTGCCTGACTTGACCAGACCCCGTCGGAATTTGGGGAAAACCAGGCGCAATGGTCGGCAGGCGGACAGGACAGCCCTCGTCTTGTCTTGTCTTCGGCTAGACGATGAATGCGATTGTTAGGGCGTCGGTCACTTGCTGCTGTGGTGCAAGGTGAGGAGGAAACAGAGAGTCGACACTACCACCGCACACACGGACGGTTGGTTTCTTTGCAACGAATGTCGCTAAGAAATTAGGTAGGTCCTGGTTCAAGTTGTGTGCGTTAGTACCTAGTGTGGAGGGTGGTGTGGGTGAGGAGGACGACGACGACCACGCGCTGCGACTGGGCTAATTGTGACCAAAATATGAGGCACCAACAGAAACAACCCGCCCACGTTGGCATTAGTGCCACCACCTGCTGCTACTTTTTGACACCCCAATATGTGCCCAATGCCGGGTACCGGTAATAGCTGCGGTACGAAACAGAAAAAAAAAATTGTTGTTCAGAAATTGAGACGGGCCTGGTGCGTCTTGGCTTGGCCGCACCAGATTGAACTGGGACGAACGGGACCGGGACTGGGACGCTGGCTGGGCTGGGCTGGGCTGACTTGGGTGATACGTCCAATTAAGGTGCATGTACGTGTATTCTGGTCCCCGTACGATGGAACCTTCTAACCCCCCTCTCCCACGGGCCTGAGAAGAAACAGGGTGCGTTCAAAGCCTCAATAAGAAAGTCTACTTGAATCTTGACTTGCCCGCTTTCGAGACTCCTTCAACGACACCAAGGATCTGGGGCATTTGTTGCCGTGTTTTTCCCCCGGTCCCAGCATGAACCGAATCCAAGTTGATGCTCACAGAACTACCTTCATTCACGGGAAGAGTAATACTTGCTGTTTCTTCTGCTGCAAAGTACGACACACTGTTGGGAACCTGGGGAGTGGCTGTCGGAAAATACAACGGGGGGGCCAATCACAATTTCTCATCTGTTTCGTTTCCTGTGACATTCATCATCCAGGACTGGGAACTGCTACGGTACCCAAGTACCTCCCCTCACCTCACCTCCTCACCTTATTTCCCTCGGAACACTGCTGCTGCTTTCTTCACAGATCAGTTTCGTCCTTGCTTCTTCGACAGTGCTGACGACAGAACAGCTGTTGTCAACTCCTCTCACCCTGGCCATTGGCCATTGGCCCTGAGTATCTGCGCCGAGTTCCCGGGTGGCCACCCCTCCTTCTTGGCTCCAACGTACCTCTCTCTCGCGAGTCTCATGGCTTCACAATGACGGGTGTCTCTCTGATTCTCCCACAGGGACTTGACGTTCCCTCCCCCTCCCCTCTCGTATTCCAACAAACCGCACAATTGGGCTGCTGCAGGCCCGTACCTTGGATTTGATTTACCGAGCCTGGCCTCCTGGTCCTCGTCCTGCAGCACCTGTCCGCACACACGCACACACGCGCCGCGGCGCCCTGACCGCACGGAAAATTCCAACATCTCGGGGTCCCTGCCGGTGGGTATTTTAATCTGTAAAGATGGCTGCTAGGCTCTATGAGTTTAGCGAACCCCATTTCTCGTATCCTCGCCCACAGACGCCGACAAGGACCGTATATCGCGACCCGCGGGAGCTCCAGAAATGAACCCCCAAGCTTCGTTAAACGGTCGCTTAGCAATGCGAAAAAGGAAGGAGCACGCAATTCCCAGCTTCTTCGCCGGGCTATTGGTTTTCTTTTTCTCTCTTTTTTTCTGCGAGAATCTGTCCGTAAGGCCCTGTGCAAATGACAGTGGTTCGATGGAGCGGTACGGTGTGTCTCACTGATATGCGGATTGAATCACTGTGAGATAGACGTCCTCTACAAGAATCGCAATTCCAACCCGCTTGCAGTCTAGGAATCCCCATAGGGCCCCTCGACCGTGCCCTGCAAACACCAAAGGGAAAGGGAAATCGTCCAACTCTTTGACACCACGTGTCCCTCCAGGATCGATCTTGGCCCCCGGTCCGCACGATGCGGCAGGCTTGGCCGGCCTCCTTATCCGTTTCTGTACCTGTCGCTGGCTCTGCCAATGCCGAGAATCGTCCACCAGCCCATGCCTATTTTCCTCGAAATATAGAGCAATAATATCTTCTCGCTTTCGTACACTGGCCATCCTGAAGGTGGCCGCACATACCATCAATCCGGACGAGGTTCTGTGAGCCCGTTGTCTCACGCACTGCCCCGAGCCAGCGGTCTCGACAATCGAAGGTGATGGTTCCGTAGGGCTGACTGCATCTGAATGACACGGCGCGCGGCGGGATTGGGTCTCCGCACCCGTCAGCCTGCCCCCGGCCAGCAAATGCCCGACTTAAACTCGTTGGGGGTTCATCCTTTATGCAGGAGAGACAGCGGGCACCCTACGTGCTTCAAGTTTGTTCCAGCTGCAACCGCCCTCGTCCGTTATCCGGACTGTGAGCTTCTAAGCTTCGTTCCCTCCACGATTTGTGAAGAAAGCGATCAGTCGACTTCCAAACAATATGATTTGACCAGTTGCCGCTCGTTCCGGAGGTCTGCCGGAAAGTGAAGCTGATGGCCAAAACAGCCAAGTAACATTGGTGAAGCATATCCAAGCTTTCAGATACTTTGCAACCAAACCATCTTGACATGAGCCCAATCGGTTTGCATTGTATCGGCAGTCGCTCATTTACAACGATGATGTCAACGACATGATATCTCGACATAAGCCCCGCCAGCCCGTTATATGGCCAAAGCTTCATGCTAGCCCGCCGTGCATTGTCCATGAACCTCTCAATTATTACCAGCTTTGTCGTGTGATGCTGGCATCTGGCTGATCAAGTACCGGGCAGGACCCTGCTACTGATGCTGCGACACAGATAGTCTACCTTGTGAGAGGCTCAGCAACGAGGTGCTGCAGAGTGAATGCCCGCGGTTGTCGTGTCGTAAGTTCACAGCAGCATAACCGAATCATCGGATGCCTCCCGTAATTCTCACCCAGCCACCCGGCATTCGCGGGGCAACTACCGCTGGTGCTGACGCCTCGCTGTCGGCGGCGGATCGCCTTGAACCAAATCGCCGGTCCGGCTCAAGCCATGGATAGGAGGGGTATTGCGTGCCTGGCGACCTCCACACCTCAGAGGCGGGATCGCATCGCGGAGAAATGTCCTCTCCGCGCTCCGTGCAGAGCTGTCCGCGAATCGGCTCTCCCACGAACGGCGCCTGATGCCTCTTCTGTCGGCTCCTATGACGGAGCTCGTGCTTCGCTGGTGTCCTGCCGCCGCGAAGCTATTTGGTCGTCTTTATGTGGCATTGCAGCTGCCATTTGTAATCACGTCGCGGTACCCCGGGCAGAACCAGCCAACCAGCTCTCACCAATGGCCAATGAGAATCCACTTTCCTCAGCATGACGGCGATGAGATAATGTCGATGCTGCTCTGGAAGCGGGGCAACACAGCTTCCCCCCACCATGAAATCCCACTGGCAGTGAATGGAAGCTGTACAGCGCTTTTTGGCTGGCGGGATGGCGGAAAGGGGGAGATGTAGTTGTTGCAGAGACGGAGGGGCGAGCTGTCCCTCGGAATTCCGAATTGTTCCTCTCCATTCCCAATTCGATGCTGGAAGGGGAGAGGAGAAGAGATGGCGGCCCCCATTGGATGTCACAGACTTTGTGCAAGCTTGTGCCGGCCCGCCCGCCTCTCTGTGCTTTCACTGTTCCGTCGGTCTCTCCTGCTGTTGCCCAAACCAGGGACTCCATAAGGTACTTCTCTGCCTTTCTTCCCCTCTTTACCTCTGAACCTTCGCCGTTCTTCTCCTCAACCACTATCGATTGAGCATCACAATCACAAACAACACCCAACCTCAAGAAAAACAAATTTAAAATCAGTCAAAATGGTCAAGGCTGGTAAGTTGGACACCCTTTATACCAGGACGCACACTCCATTTCCCTCCCCTAGTGCAGAGCAGCGGCGCTGGGATGGAGGGGTAACGCAGTCCAACCATCCAATTTGCGCTGGATTGAGCGGGTTTTTGCACGATTCCTGCTGAGCAAACACCCTGATGGCTCCGCGACATGGCCACGACTGGGAGCAGCTTGCCGCTGGCCAATCTTCAGCCTCGAACGATCTCCATCCTCTTCGTCCCTTGCGTCGTTGCTCTGCGATCCGTTTGGCCCGAATTGAGAAGCTCCCGTCGTTCCCGTCGTGGGGAAGCCGGGATGCTGCGTTCCTCTTGGGGGAGGACGGGCATGGGGGGAATTTGATGAACCGGTCGATCAGAATCAGCTTTACTAACCTTGATGGTCACAGTCTGCGTCGTCCGTGGTGACTCCAAGGTCACCGGCTCCATCGTCTTCGAGCAGGAGTCCGAGTCTGCCCCTACCAAGATCACCTGGGACATCAGCGGCAACGACGCCAACGCCAAGCGTGGCATGCACATCCACACCTTCGGTGACAACACCAACGGCTGCACCTCCGCCGGCCCTCACTGTAAGTTGGCATATAATGTTACCCGGCGCTCGCTTGAAAACGCGGCACAGTTTGCTGACCACATGGCCGTATCTATCAGTCAACCCCCACAACAAGACTCACGGCGCTCCCGAGGACTCCAACCGCCACGTCGGTGACCTCGGCAACATCGAGACCGACGCCAATGGCAACTCCAAGGGCACCGTCACTGACTCCCACGTCAAGCTGATCGGCCCCGAGTCCGTCATCGGCCGCACCATCGTTGTCCACGGCGGCACCGACGACCTCGGCAAGGGCGACAACGAGGAGTCCCTCAAGACCGGCAACGCTGGTCCCCGTCCCGCTTGCGGTATGTGCCCGCGAATATTTCGCTTGAAGATGACAAAAGCTAACAATCCTTTCAGGTGTCATTGGTATCTCCAACTAAGTCTATAGTAACTAAGCTAGCTTTGCTGGATACACTACGTCCCGAGGCGGGGTTTGAGAGTAGCCAAACCACCAGGGGGCTTTCTCAACTCGATACCAGAGCTGTAGTGACGGAATCTAGGCTTTGAAAATGTAGTCTCGGGCTAAGTGTCCCAAATACCTCTTGCAATAAACAAAAATCACCGTAAAGTCTGGTCGAATGAACGTGTATCTATTTAGCCATGTCCTCTGCGGGTAAGCAAAACGACGAAGGTGACAAGTAAACCACAGCCAATATAGAACAAGAGGTACCACTAAGAGCAAGAGTTGCCGTGGCATCATGATAGCTTCCTGCCCACATAGCAGAGCTCATGCAGTGCCTGAAGTTCTCGGAACGGAGGTGGGGGCATGGTCCTTGCGCTGTGAGGGGTAAAGGATGACGTGAACACCATCAATGTTGACATGATTCTTAAGTATCTCTTAGCTAAGGCCTCAGTGCTGGTCTTGCACTATTCGTGGAGTTTTGGCAACCTTCATGGGGAGCCCAGAGACATCCAGAAGGCAGATAGGACGCTGTGTCGGTGCATCCCGAGCAGACACGGAACTACTAAATTGACTGCAGCTTCCATTCACCAGGTGTTGAGGGGTCTCAGCTGGGGCGGTCAGTCTGGGGTGAGACGCTTCAGGGAGAAGCTGCGTGGCTGCCACCTAGCAACCCCCCGAAGCCAGCACCAAGAACAGCAGTACCTTACCTAAGGTCGCCTCAACCCCGCTCTCGTCTAGCCGGCCGTGGATGCTACTGGCCGCCGGCTGCCTGCTACCCCTGTCGTCGGGTGGTCCCTGAACCTCCTTCCCCCACACTGCCTGCTCGAGACCGGCCGAAATTGAGGCAAGCTGTCAAAAAGGCGGTACGATTGTCGAACGTTCATCGAACAGTCGCCTTTCTGTACACTTCTCTCCCACTCTCCCTCTCCGAAAAACATCACCACATCCTCCTCTCTGTTCTCCATTTTCTATAGTAAGTTCATGATTTCTGTTCTGTCCCCATTGGTGCTTCAGGATAGCTTTTGGATGCTGTTCATAGAAGCTTCTGCTGGCTGCCACGCGACCTGCGTCTACCCACGTGAGCTTCTTGAAGCCCCGTCTTGAACAGACGGCCACGATTCGGCTGGGTGCTTGGTTCCGATACCAGACCATCGAGATGTTTCGGTCCGCAGTTTTCATGCAAACATCATCCGAAAGCTCATTGTTATGCCGTTTTTGAACAATTGCCTCCCAATGTCTAAGACGGCAGGGACGAGACATGGAAACGGTCACTGCAAGCAGCTCGAAGAACAATGCGCTAACCAGCACAGTTTACCTCCCAGTATCCCAGCCGCTTCTTGATCGCCCATCATGTCGAAAACTTTCTTCGCCAAGGTCAAGAGCGTGCTGAGCGGCGACACTCTGGTTCTTACCGCCCCGAACAACCCCAAAGCCGAGAAGACCGTCTCCCTCGCCTACGTCAGCGCACCCCGCCTGAGCAAGGATGGCGACGAGCCCTATGCCTTCCAGTCAAGAGAATTCCTCAGAGAACTTGTCGTCGGCAAGCAGATCCAGTGCACAGTAGTATACCAAGTAAACTCTGGCCGCGAATTCGTCTCTGCTCTCCTCTCCCGCGATGGTCCCTCCCTTCCCGATGAGGCCATCAAGGCTGGCTGGCTCAAGGTCAGGGAAGAGGCAGGCCGCAAGGATGACGACGAGACGGTCCTCGCCCGCATCGACAACCTGCGCCAACTGGAGAGCGACGCCAAGGACCAGGGCAAGGGTCTCTGGGCTGGCACTGGTGGCAGCATCGAGGTCCAGAACGACCTCGGCGGCCCCGACTTCATGAAGCAATGGAAGGGCAAGACTGTCGATGGTATCGTCGAACGTGTTCTCAGCGGAGACCGTTTGCTCGTGCGACTTCTGCTTTCGGATAAGAAGCACGTGCAGGTCATGACGCTCCTTGCCGGAGTCCGCAGTCCCTCCACCGAGCGAACGGTTCAGTCCACTGGCCAGACCCAGCCTGCGGAGGAGTTTGGCAACGAGGCTAAGAGCTTCGTCGAGGAGAGACTGCTTCAGCGCCGCGTCAAGGTCGACATCGTTGGCGCCAGCGCCCAGGGCCAGCTCGTTGCTGCTCTTATTCACCCCAACGGCAACAAGAACATCGCCGGGTTCCTCCTGCAAGAGGGTCTGGCGAGATGCAACGACTTCCACTCTACAATGCTCGGCGAGAAGATGGCTGCCCTGCGCGCTGCCGAGAAGGCCGCCCAGGACAAGAAGCTTCGCCTGCACCAGCACCACGTCGCCAAGGCTGGCGGCTCTCAATCAGACATGATCGTTGCCAAGATCATTGGTGCCGATACCATTATCGTCCGTAACAAGGCCGGCACTACGGAGAAGCGCATCAACCTCAGCAGTGTCCGCGGTCCCCGCACTAATGAGCCCTCCGAGGCTCCCTACAGGGACGAGGCGAAGGAGTTCCTTCGCAAGAAGGTCATTGGCAAGCACGTTCATGTCACCATTGACGGATCCAAGCCCGCTCAAGACGGCTTCGAGGCTCGTGATGTCGCGACCGTCACCGAGAAGGGCAAGAACATTGGTCTTATCCTTGTCGAGGAGGGTTACGCCACTGTTATCCGCCATCGCAAGGACGACACCGACCGCGCCTCCAACTACGATGAGCTTCTTGCTGCTCAAGAGAAGGCCAAAGAAGAGAAGAAGGGTATCTGGTCTGGCAAGGCCCCTAAGCTCAAGCAGTGGGTCGACGCTTCCGAGTCTGTACAGAAGGCCAAGATCCAGCTGGCCACCCTGCAACGCCAGAAGAAGGTTCCTGCCATTGTCGACTTTGTCAAGTCTGGTTCCCGCTTCACCGTTCTCATTCCCCGCGAGGGAGTGAAGCTCACCCTGGTTCTCGGTGGTGTCCGCGCTCCTCGCGCCCCCGGTCCCCGTGGCGAGAAGGGTGAGGAGTTCGGCGCGGAGGCTGCTGACCTTGCAAACCGCCGTCTGAACCAGCGTGACGTCGAGGTTGACATTTACGATATCGACAAGGTTGGTGGATACATCGGTGACTTGTACATCAACCGTGAGAGCTTCGCCAAGATCCTGGTTGAGGAGGGTCTTGCCTCCGTCCACGCCTACTCTGCTGAGAAGTCTGGAAACGCCAACGAACTGTTCGCCGCGGAGAAGAAGGCCAAGGAGGGCCGCAAGGGCCTGTGGCACAGCTGGGACCCCTCCCAGGACGAGGAGGAGGAGGCTGTCGCTGTTGAGACCACCACCAACGATACCCCTGAGGCTTACGATAACAAGCCCAAGGACTACCGCGACATTGTCATCACCAACATTGATGGCAACGGCAAGATCAAGATCCAGGAGATTGGCAAGGGCACTGCCGCTCTTACCATTCTGATGAACGACTTCAAGAAGTTCCACTTGGACTCGAAGAACGCGAAGCCCATCAGCGACTCCCCCAAGACTGGCGACTTTGTCGCCGCCAAGTTCTCCGCCGACGGCCAGTGGTACCGTGCCCGTATCCGCTCCAACGACCGCGCCGCGAAGGTGGCCGAGGTCGTCTACATTGACTACGGCAACACGGAAAAGCAGCCCTGGTCTAAGCTCCGTCCTCTGGACCAGGCCCAGTTCACCACCCAGAAGCTCAAGGCTCAGGCCATTGACGCCTCGCTGTCCTTCCTCCAGCTGCCCAACGCCCCTCACTACCTCGAGGATTCCATTGGCTTCCTTGCGGAGCTCACTGAGGGCAGAGAGTTGGTTGCCAGCTTCGACTTTGTCGACACCAAGGAGAACTTGAGCTACATTACTCTGTTTGACTACAACGCCAGCGACAAGAAGCCTGGCCCGAACGACTCGCTAAACAAGGAGGTCGTCGCGAACGGCATGGCCATGGTGCCCAAGAAGCTCAAGGCTTGGGAGCGCAGCAGCCAACACGCCGCCTACCTGAAGCACCTTAAGGAGGTTGAGGCACAAGCCAAGGAGGAGAGGCTAGGCATGTGGGAGTACGGCGACATCACCGAGGACTAAGGGATTGTGATACCAAAGGAAAATGAGGAGGTTGTTTAGGAAAAAGCCATACATAATATGCAATAGCGTTAATGAAGCACAACGCACGGGGCCAAACGAAGCCCTTGTTTTTATTCGCATTCAGCCTCATTTTCCCTCCCCCTCTTGATCACGGCGAGCGAGTGAGCGAGTGCTGCGGTGTGGATTTCCGAAGGTGACGGGACTCTGCAGCGTTCCTCGGGGTTACGTAACGTGGAGCCCCCGGTGCGCGGAAGTCGCATGTCGCGCAAGTTGGCGGTCGGGATCGTCGGCCGGTCGGTTCAATGTTCCATGGCATACACCCCTGCCACGCCCCCCACTACTCGGCCACTCGGCGGGAAACTGGAAGCACGCCGCCCTGCAGGCGAGCGGGCTGTCCGCGCTGCGGCTGACGGGGGTGGGAGGAGGAGGTGGTGGTGGGAGATGGAATGTCAGAGAATACCGAGACCCGGAGTTTCCTGATACGTTGACGTGGACTTGGCGACTGGCTGCTGTTGCTGTTGCTGGCTGGACCTGACCTGATCTGACATTGGCGCGGCACAGACTCGCTCACCTTTCCCAAAGATTTTTGCAGCGCATATGACTTTGAAGAGTTGTCAATTTTGCCGCTTGGCCCATACTGGATGCGGGTATTGGGTGTAGTTAGCTGTGTGATTCAAGGCCTTTTGTTGCACGAATGTCGATGGCTGACTGAGGGCCACGCAGCCTCATTTTTAGCTGTAAATAGCGCAATGAGACACAACCGCGTCTCCGGCGTCTGTTCTGCATGGAGAACATCGGATAGCGAGCAGGGTGCAGCATGCTCATTCTTTATCTCTCGCGGAAACAGCGAGAGGGCCAAAATAAAAAAGGGAACGGGACCCAACGACGTGATGTCATAAGAGTGGTTCGGAATGACATCAACTGTGGCTATCTCGCTGTTGCTGCAGACTGCGCAGTGGCCTGTGCAGAAAGAGACAGCCTTGAAGATTTGTGTCGAAACCAAGGTCCCAAGGCTGTGTGATAAGTGATGGTGGCTTGTCCATGCGTTTTTTTCTCGCTCTCTCTCTCTACCGGCTAAATTTCTGTTGAACGAGGCATGGATGGAGACCCCTCCCTCCTCGCATCGAGGCTTGTTGACTACACCTCAGAAAAAAGTTGCTCGGCTAAACCACGTGTCCGATGTCGCCTTACCGTTGGCCCAAGACGCGAGGGCGAGCGAGAGCACGAAAGGAAACGAGGCAAAGCTCGCCGGGCCACGGACTTTAACCCGGCAGATGCGGGAGTGCCGCTTGCGTTTTCGATGCCAGCGCAATTTTTGCGGTGATATTTTCCGCATGTTGTAAGCACCCAGAGCACGGATTATGTCAGCTCTGGAGGCCCTTTGTTCTTCTGGTAGGCCGTTTTGTCACTTTTCTCCGACGCCAGAGACGAGGTAAAATCCGATACAACTCGCGACAAGGCCGAACAAGCGCAGGGTGACCCGGTCCCGCCTCTTGGTTTTGTGAATATGGAACATGGCTGCTGCAACAGCAACGCCGTAGTCAAGCCGTTATGTGTACTGCAAGACTGCAGAAGAGCAGCCCGTTGCTGCGTCAGGGACCCGGCGGCGGGTATTCTGCGAAGTTTGGAGGTCGCGGAATACTGGGGGTATGACGCCGATTCTGGGTCATGGAGGGGCAAAACTACTGCGAATGGGGCCCGAGCTACCTCTTGCTACCTGGGCTCATTACTCGACGGCCCGCGGTTGGGAAACTTGGACGGAGGAGCGGTTGTATGTACAAAGTGCTCCTGAATCAAGTCTTCACCGAGAGGAAAAGAGAGCGAGAGACTGACGAGGATCGCTTGATTTGTCTACTCACCTTATCATGAGATGACCCCGGCCTCGAGACGATGAGGGGTTGCCGTTGCCGTTGCTGTGCGAGAAAAGCGCTGGGGAATCAAGGTGCAGCAGGAGTAGCGTGTTGCAGGGAGAAGGGGTGGAACACGGAGGGAGGTGGGAGGAGGGACCCCGCTCTCCCAATAATTGTTGCTGAATTGGCCGGAGCACTGGAGTCCGGGGCCTTGCCTCCACCACCTTCACTGTCATGTCCCGTCAACACTGAAGTCTGAACCGCTAGAGGGGCACTACCACCGCTAATTGCTCGTTCCCATCCCATCTCCCATAGGTTTGGTGCTCTCTTTCAGTGCTGGGTATGTATCAGCGTTCTGCTGCTGTTCCTCAATTTTTTTGCAGCCACTTCACTCGTGCATGCACCCCCAGAGTGTGGGTCTAAGCTCAACCAAAAGTCTATATATATGTAAATACCTCCACCACGACTACACATCATCCCACCTCTTGCACCTCGTCACGTCTCTCAATCCCTCTCGATTTGAATGATCAATCAAACAATCCAAAATGTCTACCTCTCTCGATCAGCTTAAGGCCACCGGCACCGTCGTTGTCTCCGACTCCGGCGACTTCGCCTGTAAGTCACACCGTCGTCACCCCGCCATCGTTACCCCTCCATCTCCCTCAACCGTGGCCGGACACACGCTCCTGGCCAGATGAGCTATTTTTCTCATGCCGCCTCCCGCAACACCACGAACGCAATAGTAGGAGCAAAAGCTGACCGCACTCCCAATCGACAGCCATCGCCAAGTACAAGCCCCAGGATGCCACCACCAACCCCTCCCTCATCCTCGCCGCCTCCAAGAAGCCCGAGTACGCCAAGCTGATTGACGAGGCCGTCGCCTTCGCCAAGAAGCAGGGTGGCTCCGTCGACCAGCAGGTCGATGCTGCCCTCGACGCCCTCCTCGTCGAGTTCGGCAAGGAGATCCTCAAGGTCGTCCCCGGCAAGGTTTCCACCGAGGTTGACGCCCGCTTCTCCTTCGACACCAAGGCCTCCGTCGACAAGGCCCTCCGCATCATCGAGGTACGTTTCTTTGTCTCGCAGCGTCTGGCTCCGGACAATCGGATTCTAACAAAGAGAAACAGCTCTACAAGCAGCAGGGCATCGACAAGGAGCGTGTCCTGATCAAGATCGCCTCCACCTGGGAGGGTATCAAGGCCGCCGAGATCCTCCAGCGCGACCACGGCATCAACACCAACCTCACCCTCATGTTCTCCATCGTCCAGGCCATCGCTGCCGCCGAGGCCGGTGCCTACCTCATCTCTCCCTTCGTCGGCCGCATCCTCGACTGGTACAAGGCCGCCACCAAGAAGGAGTACTCCAAGGAGGAGGACCCCGGTGTCAAGTCCGTCGAGACCATCTTCAACTACTACAAGAAGTACGGCTACAAGACCATCGTCATGGGTGCCTCTTTCCGCAACACTGGCGAGATCACCGAGCTTGCCGGCTGCGACTACCTGACCATCTCCGTACGTTCCATCCCTGTCACGTCACTCACCAAGAACTCAACTAACACACCCTCCAGCCCAACCTGCTTGAGGAGCTCCTCAACTCCGACGCTCCCGTCCCCAAGAAGCTCGACGCCTCCAAGGCCGCCTCCCTCGACATCGAGAAGAAGGCCTACATCAACGACGAGTCCCTCTTCCGTTTCGACTTCAACGAGGAGCAGATGGCCGTCGAGAAGCTCCGCGAGGGTATCTCCAAGTTCGCTGCCGACGCCGAGACCCTCAAGGGCATCATCAAGGCCAAGGTCCAGGCATAAATTGCCACAATACCCCAAAAGGCGTGAGCACGCCGAGGAGAGAAAGGAAAGGTGTAACTGGTGCGAGGAGGCAAATTACCCAAATCATGACGTGAGAATGACTTAATGAGACGGATACACACACCCATGGATACAACAGAGGCAAAAAGGGGAAGGCCAGATTGTTGAGGGCGGGCGGTGGATGAATGATATCTTAGAGCGAAGGCAAACATAGCACAAAATCCCGAGATAGATTGCTTGGTTACCAAATCTCTGCGCCCAGCTCTCTGACGAGTTCGTGTGTGTAATCTGACAGCCTTTTCCCGCCAAGTGTATTAGCCGTGATCTAGGATTGGGTATCTGAGTGTGTTGACATCGCATGAACATACAAGTCCGCCTCGGGCCAAACTTTCAGCAGAACAGGTTGTTGTTCACTTGCACGCATGTCAAACGGCACAGAGTCTAAGCCATCAAGTGAAAGTCGAAAACGCCAATGGTATTACTATGTTCATTAGGATAAGAGCGGGTTTTCCGCCCGTCTTGTCATGACACCCATTTATACAATCCATTCCCCCAGCCCATCCGGGCGTGGTGGGAGTTCTGTCTCTAATTCTCTCTCTACCAGCCTCTCCATCGCGGAGGAGCACAGAGAACGTTTGCTTCTTTTTGCCTTCGTCGGCATGCTTTTCCTCGCATGCTAGTGTCGCGTCTTTTTTTCATTTATCTTTCCTTTCTTCCTCGTCGCCTGCTCCATCCAGGGCACACATACACAAGCCATCATCACCTGCTCTTCTCCTTCTTGCTCTTCTTGTCCTCCTTCTTGCACTTGATGCTCTTCACCTCGTGCTTGACGCCCTCCGCCGTCGCCTCGATGACCAGCGCGCTCAGCTCGCCGCCGTTGACGCAGCCCGAGTCGAGGCCGAAGGTGTACTTGTCGATGTTGAGGCCCTTCTTCGAGTCGTGGCCGTAGGCGACGGCGGTGCGGGGCTCGTTCTCGGGCAGGCTCTTCTGGTGCTTGTTCCAGGCCTTGGGCCAGCTGCTGGAGCCGTCGCGGCGGTCGGTGGGCACGGCGATGACGCGGTCGTCGGGCTTGCGGCGGCGCTCGTGCTCCTGCTCGATCATGTTGTCGGTGATGCCCGGCGCGGCGGTGTGCGTCTTGCGGTACTCCTCGAGGGCGTTCTTGGCCTCCTGCCGGCGGAGCTCCTCGCGCGGGTAGACGAGGCCGCGCATGTTCATGACAGCCCAGGGGTCTTGGGACTTGAGGGCGAGGCCGGGGACGAGGCCGGCGTGGACGACGACGAGGTTGCCGAGGGACTCGATGGTGCCGGCGTCGAGGATGACGGGGAGGGTGGAGAGCCAGTCGATGTGCTTCTTGGAGAGGGATTTGGCGGTGGCGCGCTCGGCGGAGTCGCCGTGCGGGAAGACGGGGAGCTCGAGGTCATCGTCGGTGTCGTTGTCGTTATTGTCGTCGTTGTCTTCGTTGGAGGCGGCGGGGCCGTCGACGGGGTTGCCGTGGGCGTCCTCGTCGGCGACATGGGTCTTCTTCATGTTGCGGTGGGCGAGGAGGACGCGGTCCTCGTGGTTGCCGCGGACGGCGGAGGCGCCGAGGCGCATGGCGAGGTCGACGACGCCGCGGGAGTCGGGGCCCTTGTTGACCATGTCGCCGGCCAGGACGAGGTGGTCGCCGCGAGCGGTGTCGAAGGCGAGGTCGGCGAGGAGGGCGTCGAGAGAGGCGCGCATGCCGTGGACGTCGCCGACGATGACGAGACGGCGGCCCGGGTTCGCGCGGGAGGGGACGTGGCGGTCGGGGAGGGTGGTGATGTGGACGGAAAGGTCGGTGAAGCCCGGCCGGGCGGTTTCACCGTAGGACATGGGCGCGTCCGCGGGTGAGGGCTTCGGTTGAGGTTTTGACTGCTGGCGGCGGATGGAGGGGAGGTCGAAGGAGGCGAGGCGAGCGGCCGCGAGGAAGAGGGTCGTGATGATGAAGAAGGCCGCTATCAGGATAAGGCCGCGCCGCGGGCGGGACGGGGCTGGGAAAGACATCTTTGTTGTTTCGGGGTGTGCGTGTTTCCCCTGGGCCGGCGGTTCTTTTCGGCCGGAGTGTTGGCTTTGGCGGAGACGTCAGAGCCGTTCCTCCTCCTGACGAATGTGCAGGTTGGCAGAAGAGGAGGGTTAGGGATTTCGATGTTGAGGCTCGGTTTGGGTTTGGTGAGGGTGAAGCCTTCCCGTGCGTAGGACCGAGCTAAAGGGGCAAGCCTCGTTTCGGGTGGCTGTTTTCCCTGGGGGCGGCCGACCGTTGAGATTGAGTCTGGGTTTAGGTCGCCTCTGGCTTCGTGTGCCTTATCCCAACGTCGTGGTTTAGGTTAGGGGAAAAGCGTAAATGGATGCCGATGAAGCCGGGACGGAGGAGTCGGGGGCGGAAGCGGCGCGCGGGTGGGAACAGATGGGATTTTGAGTTGAGTTCCCTCTTTGCCTCTTATCGGATGCGATTCCTTCCAGGGGGTTGGTTGGTTGGGTGGATTAGGTTATCGTGAAGTCAAAGGGATTGGTGTGTGGTCTTGGGCCATATCAAGGAGGTCTGTCGTCGTAATCGTTCGTTAAACCCTGGCGTTTCCGCTTTATTGACCTGGGTTTGGGAAAGGATGAAAATAGACGGCGCGCGGGAGGGCGGGGGAACGTGAGAAAAGGACAGGAGCGAGGAAAATGAAAGACAGGTGCAAAAAATAAAGACTACCTCCCAGGCCAAAGGAAAAAGAGGAGGAGGAGTAAGACCAAGAAACCGAGATGCCGTGCAGCAGATTTCGCCAAGGAGAAGAAGGCGGCCGGCGAGCAAATGCCAAAAAAAAATGATGTGGTGCTCCTTCCTACTGACATTCTGGATTTGGATAATACGGGGCGCAGGGCCAAGGGGCGTGGAGGGGGCCGCTGCCGCGCTGCTCGCTGTTTACGAACAGCCAAGGGGAGCATTTTGGTGGTGGACTGGGAAAGTCGGCACGCGACGTGGCATGCGACCCCTGTCGTCTCCCGCTGGGCGGTCCGTCAGCGGCGTGTCAACGTCCTCTTCCCAGTCAACCAGTGTCGCTACTGCGTGAAATGCGCGGTAGCCTAGGTGTGGAGGATTCGCAGCTGGTCTTGCCTAGCCCGGTCTGATTGGTTCGGGGACGTGATTGCGGCGGGGCGGAAGCGAGCTGGGGGAAAGGGATGTGGTGGATGGGAAGGAACGGATGGGAATTGGGGACTTTCTCTGCTCTAAGATTCCTCGCCTTTTTCGACAGCGACTTTGCTGGGTTCGTCACCGATGATGGGGAATCGGCCCCGGTGCTTAATTTTTCTGCCTTTCGATAATCAACTGCCAAGATAACTCAATTCGTCTTGTGGAGGCTGTAGAAAGTTGGTCCCTATCGCAAACGATCTACAGGGGAGGCTTTGTATCGCAGGGCACTTCCCTTTTTTCACTCCGCGAGGAAGATGAACTTGGGCAAAGCAGAGGAATGCCTTGCCTTGCCATCCTGCCATTGTCTCAGTCCCCAAATTCCGTCCCGTCGCACGCTTACGTATTCCCGCCGCGTTCCGCCCGTATGTCGTGCTACGCTCTCCGCTGCCTGCATGCGCTCTCACTTGTCTTCTGCGAGTGTCCCGCCGCCGCTTCATTGAATACCAAGACCTTGGGTGGTCCTATGCCAAGTACGTCATTGCGGCACGGATGGTTCCTTTGTGAAAGACCCCTGCCTTTTTCTGCAGTCGGTCTCCTCCGATCTATGCCTTTTTGGAGGGGTTGGGGACTCAGGCCATAGGAGTGTCAGCGGAACAGACTGCGGAGTTAGGATCATCAGGTTGATGATACTGCACTCGAGAGGTCTTGTGTAGTTCACTAGATCGTTGCGACGTTGAAACGTTGTCAAGCGGCTACGAGAACTTCGGGCTAAAGAGTCAACGGTTGCCAGCTTTGCCGCTGTGGTTAGTCCCGCGTCTGCATCGCTGAACTCTATCATAGCGGGGGCCGCAGAAAGAAGAAAAGAGGCCTCGCAGATATTCGGATCTTCTTGTATAGAATTTAATCTACTTGATATCGTTGAAGAGTTAAGGCACTGGACAACTAACTGCTAGTACTTTTACCCAGCGCCCCAGCAAAAGGCCGCTAAGATGCCCTCAGAATTATCTCTCAAAACTGAAAGGCATATCAAAATATGCGCAAGCAAGCTATCTTCACATCAAGCAAGTTAGGTCGCTTGGTCAAGTAGTTCAAAAGACAAAAAGATTGTGACCAGCATGGGGATCGAACCCACAATCTCCTGATTCCACTGTGTATCGTAGTCAGACGCCTTGCCATTGGGCCAACCGGCCAAGACAATTGAGAATGCCTGAGGCACCCGTCTTGCTTGCAAGTAGAGGCTGCAGCTCTACCTAAACAGTCTCAGCATATCAGTCTGCACACTTCCCGCATACCTCTCAGCTTGCTCCCATCATCTTTGATTACAATCCTTTTTCGTCTTTCTGTATGTCGAAAATACTCATCTAATGCCTGTCGAACACGCTCAGATTTAGGCTATTGGAGGATGCGAAATCGTGGTCCGCGCAGTTGGGAGTTTCCAGTGTTCAACCTGTGCATTGCCAGCCACATTGAACTGTGACCGTAATATGAACAACGTATGATTGAGTCACAATGTGAACGTTTAAGGATTTGCTGCGCTGTATCTATAATATTTTACTCAGGTGGCCTTCTCCAAAATCTCTACCTAAGCCGAAGTGGCCACGCCACAGGCTCACATGGCTTTCGCAATGGCCGTGGCAATGCCTTTGGGCAATCCTGAGTGATGCATAGGTAGTCATGCCAAACGTGCTTTTGTGAAATCCGTACACGACATTTGCTTTAAATTCTTTAAAGCTTGACACATCTTCAAGAAATACATAGGTCAAGGTCCGTCTCTGGCCTCCGTCGTTTGCTCCATTCACGATATAAAACACCCCTTTTACTCAAGTCATAACCTATTTTAACTCAACCTCGACTAGATTTTTAGTGCAAGAAGACATCACCTATCTCTTCTGCGAATGCTTGCGTGCATTACTTGAGAGCTGTTTTCGTTCAAAATGCACCATAAAGGCTCATGTCTCAGAGATGAGCTCCATGAACCCCAATCCAAAATTCAACTCAGAGCTTTATTTTATATATCTAATTTAAGTCTCTTATTTCTTGGAGCTTTGGATCTATAGACAATCCAGAAACTATAGATTTGGAGCCGAACTGATGAGCTCTACAGCTTGAGAGAGAACCGATCTTTCCTGTGGACGGGAACGTTCCTGAGGCTTGCAGGGACGACATCAATAGAAACATCCAAGATTACGCCATCGAGAATAGTCAGCATAACAACGGAGACAGAAACAGAGACGAGAGAAGACGCAGACGAGAACGGAAGACGACGATGGAGATAACGACGAGAGACAACGGAGACAGAGACAACGGAGACAGAGACTACAGAGACAGAGATGACGGTAGATGTACAGGAAATATATGCATTATAGCACGGTCAAAATACCTAGGTGGTCTTGCATAGGGAGAGATATACCGTCAAAGACCCATGTTAAGGGGCTATTCCAAACCCATCCATTGCCGAGTAATTCTCTGTGCTATTGCCCCATCTGTCCCTCCTGTTCCCGGCCTCCTCCTTCCCCCATCGTCCAGAGAACCCTCCACGGCATACAGCATCTGCTTTGCTTGAATCTCAAGTCCCGGAGCATAGCAAGTGTCTCCCGAACCGAAGCCCTCTGGATGTGTTTGCGCTTTCCCACGTCACAAAGCCCCCAGAGCTAAAGGCAATCCGGGCAGAGAGCGTTGACGTACTCCAAGTGCTCGTTGGCGTACTCGACGCTGCTCTTGGCCGGTGAGCAGGCGCGCTTAAATAGATCTCTGGCAGAGCGTCTGGTGCACGTAGCGAACTCGGACCACGGCGCCTCGCTCCACGCGGCATGGTTGGGCGGAAACGCGGCCAGCTTGGGCTGCGAGCCGCCGGTGCCCATGTTACCGTAGATGTTGGAGCGGTAGAAGGGGTTAAGCTGCTCCTTGCCCTCGACGCCGTTCTTGATCTGCGTCCAGCCGATGATCTGGTTGTCCTTGATGCCGCCGAGAGCGGCGAACTCCTTCTCCTGGGGGTACGGGTTGTACTTGCCGAGGGTGGCCTGGCAGTCGATCATGTTGGGAGCGGAGTGGATGCGGTAGATATAGCCGTTATTGCCGAGAAACTGGCGGACCCAGGTGCGGGCGAGGTTTCTGTCAGAGGTGGTCGAGACGTAACCGTCTTCGTCCTTGCTGAAACCGTTGTCGGCGCCGTTGACGTGGTTCCAGAGACTTGTGTCGGGCGACACGACGCCAATATTGGATTGTCCCTTGGCTAGGAAGCCTTGCGAGGCTTGGATGGTCGAGAAGGCTCTGGAGTCGGCCCTGTAGAGGTCGACGGCTGAGCCGAGGATCGACCAGAGGGAAAAGAGGAAGAACCCGAACACAAAGGAGTATTGCCGAGCCATCTTAGACGGACAGAAATGGAGGACGACAGCGACGGAGGACGACAGATATGAGGATGATGGAGATGATAATGAGACAAGTGCCGCAAAGCCAAAAGAGAGTGCTCTTAACGAGTGTAGGATTGTGATGACGATGCTGGTCGACAACAAGACATATCTAGGCGGGATAGTCGCCTAGGTTTTATCGTTTTGTACAATCTCTATGCCATGATGCTCTCCCATTCGAACCTCGAGTCGTCATTTGCTTCTCTCCCTAACAATACGCTTCTCTCACCGGAACTTTGGACTGCCAAAACCCCGTGTTCGATCCACATCCACAGTCTCACGGAGCAATTTGAATTTCATCGCCGCCTGGATTTGGCCTAGGCATAAAGATGAATCATGAACAATTTAACTAACATCAACTTTGATTTCGAGTTCCGACGAAACCGATGGCGGTTTGCCGCTTGATGATGATGTCTCTTGACTTACCTGGTGTTATGGATATGTGAGACCTCCCGAGCTGGTATCTCGGGGACTAGAGGCCCACAGGAGGTTCAGATCTCACGCGCAAATTTCTCGCCCAAACAATGTATCAACCCTCGATAACCCAAGCCACAGATACCTGACAAGGATTCTCTTTTTGTTCGGCTGATCACTCAACCGCCAAGTGGATGAACGTCTGACGAAGCTCTCGCGTGGTCTTGGCCGGGGCGGACAAAATGATGTTGAAACTATCATACCCGGCAGGCCGGTGCCGGAGCGGATGTACGACGACGCGAGAACGATCCACTTCGGTATCGCATGCCTCTCCGCGGACTCGCGAGGTCTCCGGTTGTGTGGACGCTACGACGAGATGGAGACTGGAGTTCAACTAGTGTGTTTCCGCTTTAGGAAGTTCTCATGATCTCGCAGTCGGTGAGGCAGATAATCACCAACGTTTTAGTGATTATGCCTTAGTCAAGACCCTTATGCCATAACCCACTAGGTATCCAGTGTATTAACCACAAAGGTATAGAAACATCTGACAATCGCTACTTGGGATAGGAAGTGGTCCATAATATATTCTAATTGAGTTTCAGCTAGGAAGATGGCAGTACAAATTTAAAGTTATATGCCATCCCGAAAGAGCCGAGCGATGATCTGCGCCGGCTTCCAACTGCACAGAGCCAGCCTTAAATGGGCAGAATTGTTGGTTTTATTGTTTCACATGTACGGCTTAATAGCTGACCAATACCGGACAACGTGGTAAAAAAGAATGCACCCGTGCTCCATCATCGGGCTTATAAGCTTCAACCTCCGATAATAATAGATTGCAGCAACACCGCAAGCTTCTGCCCATCACAATTCAACCTCCACCCAACTCCCAGCTTCCCAGCACACACAACACGATGTTCCGATCTTTTCTCAATTCCATTTTCCTAGGCACGCAAACCCCGCCGGAGTCCACAATCGCCAATTCTGCCTCCCCCGACGAGTCAGGTCAGCGAGTGACCGGCTCGACGTGGGATGTCCACCCAATCAGCCACCCTGCGACCGCGCCGTGGCATCTCAACCTGTCGGACACAGACACCGACAAGCTGCTCCACGGGTATCAGCCCGCAGCGATGGAAGATAGGTGGATGTGCCGTTCGGATGGACCGGACGAACAGGGCAATATAGTGGTCCATGTGTACCGAAGTTGGACCGGCAACGAACAGTTTCAGATGAAGGTGACTGCTTCCAGCCTCCGGGAGACCGCACTCCGCGGGTCCGAAGCCAAGAAGCCCGGTGAAAGTGATGCGGAGATTACAGAGATCACATGGGATACCGGCAGTGGTGATGCGCAAATGTCGGAGGAGGATGCGAAGAGCTTGGCGACGACGATTTGTAAAAGGGTACTGGGATGTGAGCTCGAGAAGGCTTCTTAGAAGAGTGACAAGAGAAGATGTCGTCTGATTGCAGTGGAGTTGTTAATATGAAACTTTGTCTAGTTCTCGGAAAGAATGTCACAATGCGGAGCTAACTCGTCATCGTACATCGTACTGCAAGCACAGCAACGGCCGTTAGAAGGTGGTGCCAAGCAATCATGCACAACCCCCAAGTGACATCCCGTCGGATGTTACCTCTAAAATCCGCTTCCTTCAGCCTCAAAATATGAGCGGGATACGTCGGAGAGCGAGGCTTAGACCCATTCATGGGCCAAAGTTAAAGTTCACTCAACTGCGGGTTGCTCTAGCTTAGTTTGTTCCACCTTCGGCTCCGTCAGCCGGAACTCGTATTGACAGTTGACCCCGAAAGCGAACTCAATGACGGGCATCGCAATGATATCTTTGAAGTCGAAAGTATTCTGCGATGGCTGAGTTTGGGCTATAAGTAGGTTTGACATTCGCATGACTACTCAGGGTATTACTCTCAACATCAACTCATCTGCACTCGCTACTGATCTATCACGTTCTTTTCAACATTGCAAATCCATTCTTGTCAAGGTACTGCATCTTTCAAACGCACAATCTGGTGATACTGACCTGGAGCGCAGATGCAGCTCGCTACTCTCATCCCAGTTGTCGCCCTCGGCATCTCTGCCGTCAGCGCCGAGTACTGCACACAAGCTCTCGACCCCTACCCCCGCAAGGCCAGTACTGGCTTCCGTTTCGAGAGCGTAGATGCAAACAACTGGAAGTGGACATCCAGAGACGTGCAGGTGGTCACCACCGTGAGCCCACAGGGCGGCAACTGCCAGATTCACCAGGGCGGCGGCGGCGGTGAATTCTCCGCCACTATCTGCATCGACGTGCGTTACCCAATGCCTGTGTTATATTTGAGGTGGTGCTGACTTGCTGTAACAGTTCAAGGGAAACTATGCCTGCTGGGTCACACCATCCAAGAACCAGGTGTGTGACATGGTCTTTGAACAGGACGAAGCCCCTATCGATGTCTGTGGCAACATCAAGAACATTTGGGGATGGGTGGCTTAGGTGAGCGTTGCGAGTTCCCAGGAGTGACATCGTTATTGACAACTGAAATCTCAGGCCATCAAGTCTTTGATCCCACGCTATGCATCAGGGAATTTGGAGGATGCTGGGTTGTTGGTAAAACTGGTATGGAAACCATTTGCTCCATGAAATAGGTTGGGTGATGTTCGTTTTGTAATTTGCTCTTTATGCATTCGTAAGGTTTCGTTGTAGCGATCAATGTGATACTCTTCCAACAACATTGACACGGCCAACATTTGTAGAAGCTGAGTTTGAATATAAATTTGCGTTTGAAATTGATAAAACTTTCATAAATGGATAAAACTGCACGAATTGAACGATGACGTACTATCCGGGCGAATGCTCCCAGCTACTTCTCTTATTTGGTATTATTTCGTTCCATTATCACGGTTTCTTGTTTCGTTTCAGTCTTTATTCTATCCTGACCGTTTCACCTATCACCATTGATCATGACTGTTTTCGTCGTCCCTGTCATTGCCGTGCATGTCATTGCGATGCGTATCGTCGTTTGTAAGCACTGTTCGCCCGAGTAGCAAAACTGTCATTGAACTCATACCAGTTACAGCAACAGCAACGTGTTGGAAGGAAGTGAACCTATGATGCATTACGTTAACGAGCTTATTTCAGCTTGGAGATGATAGGGACATCGGAGAAGATAACGTGTATTGTAACGATAATGAGATCAAGCTGGAAATGAATTATCATTACTAAGACCGACAGGGACAACACGAACAACGTGAATTTAAAATCACAAAGCTTTGCTGTCACAACCATACTAGGAGTCAGGACATACCATCACCATCAGTCAGGCAGCAAATAATTGAGCCCTACGTTTGTAAGAGTTGAAGAATAACGACACAGGTACCTCGAAAAGGGGTTATGCTGGTCTTGAATTCTATTGCGCTGTTTGTTAAAGTGCAAACCCTCGGAAAAGTCTGATACCTAGGGCCAGCGAAATGCTGCAATTTACGAATGAAATTTGATATTGACATGGGCAGGATGGTTTCCCATGTGGACTTGATTTAGGCTACAGCTGACGTTTGGCGCCACCCGATGCAGCCTAGAACGTTGTTGCATGTACGAGCAATACGCCTTGCGATCATACCTACACCGCAGCGTAGCAACTGTCTCAAACTCCTCCACGACATCGAATCATCTCGATCCCTGCGGCTCGGCTCGCGTTAGCCACACCCAAGTTCACCGCCTTCACCATGGAAGCCGATAGAGCCAAGGTTCTTGAAGCGCTAAACGCCTATCGCGCGCACATCGCGTCCCAGATCCGGAAGAACATGGAACTGTACGTGGAGTATGTCTTGGAGCAGTTACCACTGGACCAGGACTGGACAGACGAGGAAATCAACGATGCTCGTATGCAATTTCTCGAGGAACGATTAGGAATCGGCGAGTTCATGGAGGGTGTCAGGTTTCCTGAGGATGTTCTGACCCATTGGCATGAGATAGCTCAGTTGAGTGGTTTAGACGGGACAATCCGCCTAGACCCGGCCAACGGCGCTGAGCTCCTGGAGGCCTACGTTTCTCACATCGAGGAGGCTCTGCGAGAAAAGTCCCACGAGGACGTCAGAGACACGATTAAGTTTCCAAAAGAACTCCGCATAGTGGCCGAGGAAGTCCACGGCCTGATTGGCCCCGGGATGCCATACCACAATCACCAGCAGCTGACCTTCTGGTCTCTGACAATGGACGCTAGCCGGGTCAAGACCTCGGAGGAACTGGAAGATGAGACGGGGTTGAACGGCTGGGACCCTCATGGCTGGACGATGGGAGGCGGGTGGAACTCGGGGGACGGACAGGATGCCTCGTGTTGCGTGGTGTACTGCCGTAAGCCGGGCGAGGATGGATGGAAATGGCGGTACGTTGTGAATTTGTGGGAGAGAGGGATGTATGTCTTTGAGAGCATTCCCGAGTTTCTTGGGTGGTACGCACACTTTCGCGAGGATCACTTGGAGAGGTTGGCGGCTGAGGACCGGACGGCCAGGCTGTTTGATTGACAGGCAAGTGTCGCTTAACGGTCATGTTAGGTATTCTGTCTTAGACCATGCCGAGAACGAAGAGGTAGTTGTGATTGGGCACATCATCCCTTGACGTCCATATGCAGTTGGCCGGGCCTCTCCCCGTTGGCCCATCCAATGCGCTCCCAAGTGACACCACCATATGTACCTGATGGGTAACACCGCTCCGTCAGCGGCTGAAGGCGGAGAGCCTTATCTTTCTTGTCCCGCGACACAACAATTTCTCACGAGTACACCTCCAACATTTCTTTGCGCAACGCGACGAGACTGCGCCTTACACCTCGACACCGAACGTGATCCACTCCTCGGACTTGAACTGGGGTCCAGGACGCCCGGGCAGGGGATCACCAACACGCTGCGGCGTAACCAACACAACGTAGCATTTCTCCTGATGACGATTTCCTTTCCGAGAAATCTGGTGCCTTGCCTCATCTCGCTGCTGCATCTCAACCACGCCGCATCTGGCAGCTGAACACAGGCGAAGTCGCCCGGCCTGTCCTCCTCGTCTTGGGATCTCAAAGCCCCCGACTTAAAAAGGGAAGACTCCTCCGTCTGGATATTCGTGTTCTCAAGTCCGGTAAGCCACATCGTTATCCTCCCATAATGCTATCCTCCACTTTCCTTCTATCCCTCGCTCTAGCCCTAGCATCCCTGCCATGGAGTTCGGCAGACACCACGACCCCATGCAAGTCCTTCCCAGGCAGCGCTGACTGGCCGTCCACAGAATCCTGGGCCGCGCTCAATGAGTCTCTTGGAGGCCGACTGCTGCAGCCGGCTGCTCCAGGAGCTGTCTGCCATCCCGGAGAACCGACCTACGACGCCGGCCGGTGCGCCGACGTGCGCGCCGGATGGAGCCGCTTCGACTTCCACAAGGCCGACCCCGTCTCCGTCATGTGGGACAACTGGAGCAATGACACCTGCCTCCCTGACGCGGCTTATCTGTGTCGCGCTGACGGATACTCTGCTTTCGTCGTGAGCGCGACCACGCCGGAGCATGTCAAGTTTGGTGTTGACTTTGGTGTGTTTGTAGCCGTCTTCTCGTCATGATGAACCGGTTGGCTAACGAGTGTAGCGCGGGAGAAGAACGTGAGGTTGATCGTCAAGAGCACAGGGCACGATTACCTAGGCCGCTCTTTTGCTCCGGGGTCTCTGTCCATTTGGGTGCACCATATGCAAGATGTGCAGTACCACGGCGCTGGGTTCCAACTTGCCGGGAGCGATATCACCATCGAGGGGAACGCCGTCACCGTCGAGGGCGGCACCGAGCTGTACAACGCGCAGAAAGCCCTGGCCGAGCACGGGCAGGCCATCGTCGGCGGCGGGTGCGGGACGGTGGGAGTCGGCGGGTTCACCCCCGGAGGCGGCCACTCGCTGCTGGGCCCGCGGTACGGCATGGCGGCGGACAATGTTCTGCAGATGGAGATCGTCTCGCCCAAGGGCGAGATCATGACGATCAACGAGGCGCAGAATACGGATCTGTTCTGGGCCATGCGCGGTGTAAGAGCGGACATCATCTGACATTTACACGACTTCCCGATGTTAACTCGAGCAGGGCGGCCCCGGCACCTTTGGTGTCATCACATCCATCACCTTTTTAACGCACCCATCACCTGCAATAACTCATACCTTCTGGGCTATCAGAACCGAGCCCGACGCACCTTACCTCCCAGCCCTCACCGCATACGTCCTCTCCCAGATGCCTGCGCTCGAACGCGCCGGCATGTCCATGTACTGCACCTCCTCGCGCGTGCTCATGGAAAACCCCTTCCCAGTGCAAAGCCTGCCGGCGCAGATCGCAGGCATGATGGGCGTCGCCCTGCTACAAGACCAGTCCAACTCACAAGCAATGCAGGAGCTCTGGCAGCCCATCAACGCGACCATCGCCGCGCGGTGGCCCGAGGCCTTGTTCGTGCTGCAGACGGAGCAGTTCGCGTCGTGGTTCGACTGGTTCGACAAGTACCGCGACGCGCGGCCCGTGGGGTACCATCTCATCTTCGCGTCGCGGCTGCTCGACGAGGCGGCTCTGACTGAAGATGTGGACGCGCTGGCGACGGCGGTTGGTACGGCCACAGAGAAGGTGGGACGCGTGACATCGTTTTTGGTGTCGGGAAGGGGGGTGCACGAGGCGGTGCCGCGAGGGGGCGGGAATGCGGTGCATCCGGCTTGGAGGAGGGCGTATATCCACGCGAGTGAGTATTCGAGTCTGCACCGGGTGAGATGTGATGAAGCTAATAATGTGTGCACAGTGGCGACGGCCCAGTTCCCTGCTATGAATGCCACGGCCAAACAGGAGGCGATTAAGCTTGTTGATGCGGCGGCGGAGGGGTTGCGACGGTTGGCTCCTGATATGGGGTCTTATATCAACGAGGTGAGTGATCCGCATTCGAGCTGGAGGATGAGTTGCTTATTGGGACGCAGGGCTCCGTGTATGAAAAGGACTGGCAGCAGGCCTACTGGGGTGCCAACTATGAGCGGCTACTCAGTATCAAGAAGACCGTCGACCCGGACGATGTGTTCTGGTGCGAGCCGTGCGTCGGTAACGAGGATTGGGAATTGGTGGATGAAGGACGGCTTTGCCGGGTCTGAGTTACATCATACAATGACAGAGAAGCTGTGAAATACAAATTATATCGATTAACTATGATTAGATCAAACACTACTTCGGTGCTCGCCACTTAAGCCTTCGTCGTGACATTCATGTTCTTCACCCACGGCTTCCAGACATCCTCAATGGTGCCCGGGTCATTCCACCCGTTCCACTCGTAGTTGCCCAGCGCCCAGCCGTCAAAGACGCCCTGCGCGCCGGAACGAATACGGTAGCTGCCCGCCAGCCCCCACATCATCCAGCTGATCTTGTTCTTGACGGTGAACTCGCGCAGGCAGACCTGCAATGTGTCGTTGCGCATCGTGTCGTCCTGCGCGTTGCCGAACTCGGACAGGATGACGGGCGTCAGACGGCTCGCCTTCGGGCAGTCGCCGGTAACATTACACGCGGCCGGCTTGTCGATCCCCAGCGCGTTGAACCCGGAGCGGTAAAACCCGGCCTCGATGATGGGGCAGGTGCCCGTGTCGACGTCCTCGCTCATCTTGTACAGGTGCAGCTCCCAGACGAGCTTGTCGGCCCAGGCGTGCGCGTCGACGTCGAAGACCTTGGGCTCGCGGCGCGCGGCGTCGCGGATGGCGGTGCACTTGTAGCACGGCGCGGTGAGGTAGTTCTTGCCGCTCGTGAGCGCGGAGAGGTCCTGGCCGTACTGCATGCCGCCCCAGAGGATGAGCACGTCCGGGTTGGCCTCGTGGATGGCGTCGGCGCCGGCGGAGAAGTTGCCGACGAGGGTGTCCCAGTTGTAGTACAGGTCTGTCTTGTTCCAGGACTCGCGGACCTCGTTGCGCAGGGACATGGAGACGATGTTTGGGTGGTCGCGGGCCCAGTTCGCGACGTAGGAGAGGCCGCGGCGCCAGTGGGTGGTGTTAAAGTAGACGTCGTCGAACCAGGCGTTGCCGTCGGTGTGGGAGCAGCACCACATGGCCTTGCTGACGTGGACGTCCGGGGAGATGAAGATGCCGCGGTCGAGGGCGGCCTTGGCGATGTCGGACCAGATCTCGAAGCGGGTGGTCTCGCGCGTCCAGGTCGGGTTCTGCTTGATGATCTCGTTGGTGACCTTGGTGCCGTTGACGTAGCCGAGGGCGTTGATCATGGCGACCTCGAGCGGGACGTCTTCGCCTTCGCGGTCGTAGATTTGGTCCACCATCTCAATGGCGTAGCCCCTGGTGAAGGGTGGGTTAGTTGTGTGATCCCCGTGAAGGAAGTTGTAGAGAACAGCAAGAGGACTTACATTCGGATGTAGTTGAAGCCAATGCTGGCGACACTGTCCAGGATCTTGTCAACCGACGACCATTCCAGGCCCTCGGGGACCATGGTCTCGCCGCTCATGGGCCAATTGACGCCAGCCCATGTGATGACCTCGCCGCGACTGTTGACAATGTCGCGGCCTTGGGTGCTGAAGGGGCCGTACGGCCAGGCGTTGCTGGAGTCGTTCGTCGCCTGTCTGACGGACTGTCTCTGGGCAGTGTACCGCCCCATGACGGGGGTCTTCATGTACTGGCCGCAGGCCGACGACACGAGGGTCGCGGCGGCGATCGCGAGGGCCGTCACCTTCATTATGGAAACAAAGTTGCGCCAACGACCACGTGTAGAAGCTGCAATGGAACGACGAACGTTGCGTCGAGGGAGGGCGAAAAGGACGCCGGCGTCCTTTTTAAGGCCACCGCCCGCGGCGGCACCTTCATGAGCCGCTGCCATTTCCTGTCCTCGGTGGATTGGCCGGCGAGGTGTCCGTATCCGTGGAGAGCAAAGGGTTGGTCGGTCAGTCTAGTTGGCTGGGTCGGCTCCGCAATCCCCGCATATGTTGCTTTCTGCCCCTTCCAGCGGGAATTAGCATCGTCATACTCTCTCGAACCTGTCTGGTCATGAGGGTTGGTCTGGCTGCGTACCACGCCGGTGGATGGGGTTGGTTTTTGCCGGAGCTGTGGGCGATCAAGGTTTTGGGGCCGGAAGAGCAGGGAGGCCCTTGTCGCGGGGAAGGTTTGTTGGAGAAAAACGGTGACGGCATTGGACCGCTTGAACGAGTGGAGAGCTCGGGAGCCGGGCTACCCCGCATGGCAAAGTGCGGAGGCGGTGGAGAAGACAAACAAAAGGAAATGAAAGCGGGCAGCGGGACAATTCCCAGTCAACTAGTCCACTGGCTTGCCGAGCAACCCGTCTCCGGGGGCGGGGGCACCATGGCTCGGAGCCGGTCCGAATCGGATGGTGCTCCGTATGATGCCTGGCACCTTTGGTAGTCTGATTTCCCACATGTTGATAAATCATCTGATGACGTCGTCAGCCAAGCTGGCGAGGCGTGTAGGTGAGAACACTAGTAATGGGGTCAAGGGGGCCAGTGACGACAGTGTATTAGATGACTGACGGATACAATTATTAGCAAGAGTGGGGAACGGCGAGGTTGGTGATTACGATAGAGATAATATTAAAGATAGACATAATGGAACAACATACAAGCAAGAGGGCTGATATAAGTGAGAATAGCTTCACCTATCTCAGAAATACTATGTATTTAAGAGCTTTGGGGTCTACTAGCAAAGAAGTTCCTCAACCTAGAGTCTGCACCTCTCATATTAGTGTTGAAGGGATTAGAATATAATGTAGAACCGCACGATACGCTAAGCCGTCAAGGCGACATACCCAAACAACACTCCAAAACGAGGTAAAAAGAGAGATCACGACTGGGGCATGAGTCGAACACGCGACCTGCGCCTGGAAGATATGGAATACGCGCCGCTCTACCACCTGAGCTACCCAGCCGTTGCTTTCTTGTTGAATTATTACTCTCTTGTCTTGATCTTAAGTCGAGAGGCGATGCGGGCTGACAGTCATCGTGGTTGCCTGGAGGGAAAGATGGGGCCGAGCGGCACGGTCTGACGGAATCTTCTAGATCATCGTGCGCCTTTCTGGATGACAACTTCAGGGGTACGAACATCAGCTGTCCCAAATCTTGCAACAGTAGGTACGATTGGAAGGCGGCTTCGATGCTATCCGCAAAGCTCGTTGGCGACCAAGACACTTGAGAGATGTCGCATCTGGTATGTGCATTTGAAATATATTCACCAAAGAAAGTAAACAGCGTCTACTACTTCTTCAAGCTCTTCTCCGGGTCCTTCTCGTACCTATTGCACCACTTCCTCCACTCCTTCGCGCCCTTGTGCATGACCACCTTCAAATCGTCCTTGACGTCGTTGACCTCCCACGCCTCGTCCTCCCAGTTCTTCTGCCCGCCGGTCCGCGACGGCGACCAGCCGATGGCCTCCAAGCACTCACTGTTTTTGGCAATGTCAGCAGGTGTTCATATATTAGAGACGGATTACGGGGGAGGGAAACTCACACTTCAGTCGGTGCGTGGCTGTACCGCGGGAACAGCCGCGAGTCGACGCGGTGGCACTCGGCGTACAGGTAGCTGGAGAGCACGTCGATGCGGTGCGCCGGCTTGAACGTGATCTTGAGCTTGTTCTCCTTCTCCAGCTCCTTTTCGGACTTTTCGGGGTCGATCGTCTCGGGATCCTGGGACGTCGACGCGATGCGCTTCGTCACGGAGCGGGCGGTCTTGGTGCCCTTGATGGTGAAGTACGCCCATACAGCTGTTCTTCACGTTAGCATTGACGGATCGATTACCAAGGGTGCTGGGATATGACTGACCGTTAACCTCAAAGAGTCCACTGATGGCAATCATGACGAGGTCGATCGCCAACGAGACGGGGAGCAGGCCCGTCGCGATGATGGCGTCCCGCTGCGCCTTGGACTTCGTCCGCAGCATCGTGTTGACAAACTCCTCCCGCATCTGCTCCGGCGTCATGTTCATCGACGGCGGGTACACGAAGACGATCTCCTCCACGCCGACCGTCTTCTTGGTCTCGTGGGAGCCGTGCGCTGGGTCGTCGTCCTGGACATCCTCCTCCTTGATGTCTTCCGAGAACTTGCCGCCGCTCTTCTCATCGCGCGCCTTCTCCTCGCTGAACTTCTCCTCGAAGGGATTCTCCTCCCTTGCCTTCTCCTCGGACCCGGCCTCCCTGGCTTTGTCATACACGCCAGCCTCCTTCGCCTTCTCGTCAGCAGCCCTCATCGCCTCGTCAGCGGGCTTGCCACTCTCCTCAGCCTTCTCGTCAACATCCACGCTGTCCTTCCCCTTGACGTCCCCATCTTTCCCATCCTTCGACTTGTTCCTCCTCCCCTTGCCCTTCAGCGAGAGCTTGCGCGCAAGATTCGCCGTCGATGACGACGAAGCCGGCGCCGGCGGGGGCGTCACGCGCGCCAGGAAGTCAAGATTACTCGTCGTGGTATACTGCATCGCTTTATCCACGCCCCGTGTGCACTTGGCCTTGAACCCCGCCCAGCTCGTCGTCTTGGCGTCGCTCTGCTTCGCCTGCCGCACCTCCGCCTGCCACTTGCGCTGCACCTTGTGCGTGACGCCCTCCTTCACGCCCTCGGGCGGCGCCTGCAGCGGCGGCGGCGGCGGCGTGTACACCAGGAACCGCGTCGGCATGCCGCCCTTGTCCGGCGGCGCGGGGCCCCGCGCGCCCAGCCACGGCTTCGGGAACGGCACCAGGTACGCGATCAGCTTGTGCGGGTCGCGCGAGTAGTGCACCGGGTTGTTGGGGTCGTCGGCGCCAAAGTCGGAGCCCTGGCGCCGCGGCGGCGCGATGAAGCCCTCTGTGGAAGGTGTTCTGGTGAACGGTGCGGGCTCTTGCTGTTGCTTGAGCATGGCTGCTACGGCGTCTGGGTGCGGCCGCGCGGGAAGGGGCGGGGCCGGGCCGCCGTGCTCTTCTTCATGCTGCAGGCGCATGGCGAGCGCGCGGTCTTCGTCTTCAGGGGACATTGGATGAGATGGCTGCTGCGGTGGTAGTGGCCCGCTGCTTCCCCAGCCAGATGAGCCCTGTGATGGACGCTGGGGCAGATCGGGCCGGTTGTGGTTCCCTTCTTCCTCTTCCTGGAGTGCCAATGCCATTGCGTAGTCTCGGTCCTCTTGCTCCTGGATGGAGGGATCGGACGCGTGTGCTTGGGCGTAGTAGTCCGCGACCTCCGGTTCATGAGAAGGCCTGGGACCGGGCAGAGGCGGACGGTCCTCGAAGGCGGGGGCGGGTGCTGGAGGTTCTGGCGACTTGCCCTTGTCGTCGGGGATGCGATGTCCATCCGGCACGCTGTATGTGTAGCCGGTGTCGTTGTGATGTACAACGGGCTCGGGCGCTTTGCCCTTGTCTTCTGCGGTGGGATGTTCATTGGGGGGCTGTGAGTAGCCGGTGTCGTGATGCAGCACGGCAGGCTCGGACATGGGTGATACGTAATAGTTGTCCTGCGCCGGCTGATATTGCGGCTGCTGCGATGAGGAAGCCATTTCGTCGACGGTCACCCTGGATTCGACAGGCGACGGCGGCGAGGGGCTCCTTTTGCTGGGAGGATCGTAAATGTCGTCAGCGGTGTTGTTGATGCTGTTGTCTGCTGGGGGCCCGTAGCTGTCGACCCGAGGTTTACTTGGGGGGTCGTAAATGTTGTCCTCCTCATCCTCCTCCTCCTCCGGGACGGCGTCGGCCGCATGTTTCGTCCTGTTGGGGTCCTTATAAGACCACTGCGAGCGCACGCTATTGGAGCGATAGGTCGTGGGCGTGGCGGGTATAATGTTTACCGCAGGGACTCCGCTGCCTGATGGGACGGCGGGTGACTCATTGTTGAGGTCATCGTACCAGCGGTTGTTGCTGTGAGTTTGCTGGTCGTACTCATGCTGTCCCTGAGCTTGTTGTGAGCTCGGCTTCGGTGATGGGAAGAAGAGCTCCTGCTCCGCGATGGAGCTTGGTGTATGGCGCTGCTGGGTAGTGTCCATCTTGGCGATGCAAGCTTCACTGCAGATTTCCAAGACACTATGTTTTCTGTTTGGTTTTTAGTCCTCGATGGAGAGAAGAGAGTGAGGAAACTAGGCGGGCTATACGGACACAAGCCAATTCACTCAAGTCAGCGCAAACCTTAAATTTGGAGCTCGTTTGGTTCTTCAGCATTCTGAGGCGACAAAAACCGCCTTGGAACGCGCAACCCCGGTGCGGCGTTGAGAGGAAAGATGACGTGGTGTCACTGAAGGACGGTGTGGCGCAGCTCGAATTGGTTTGTGGCTCTGGCTCTGGCGCCCCAACGGTCAGCGGCGCAGCTCACTGAGTCCTTGTACGGGATCTCCGTGATGGACAGGGGTGGTTTGCTGGCGATCCTGGCACTGGGCAAATTGTGGCTAGAGCTCGGTTTCAAGTCCGAGGGGTTTCGGTGCGGCGGTGAGTGTCTGTTGGGCGACCGGCGAACGCATAGCGAAGACATCCTGGGGATAGCAGCAAAACTTGGATCTCTGGGCGGTCACTTCTCTCTACTATGAGGCGGCGCGCTGTTCTTCTCGCCCCGAACATGCCGCTGGCGAAAGCTACGGTACCCCTGATTAAGCTGCTGGATCGTGCGGGAGTTGTGTTGCACAGGAAAGATTCTATTGCTTTCTGGTGGAAGGTCGATTTGGGGGCTGGATGTGACCTGCCTACCTTACCATGCAGCACCTATATGCGCACTCATCCAGCACCCTTTACTGATCACGGTCAGGAAAGAGTATATATAGCGATTGCTGCTCATCCAGAGGGGCCAAGGTCTTGGACAGTTTCGCGTACGTCGCGATACCACGGCTGGGGGCATCGGGAAAAGTCGGAGAAAGCCAAACAGATGTCACCATGGGTATGCGACATGGAGAACGGGTCGGATTCTAGGCGAAAGTGTTAAGCATTGCATCCCCGCGGGGGAGCCAAGCATTTGAGAGGAACCCGAAAGAAGGGTCGAAGTCGTGAGCTTGGGGATCGTGATTTGACGTTCGCAAAATAGCCGTCTATTTCGAGAGAGCCAAGGCATTCTCAAAATAAGAATCATTGGAGAGCGAAGAGTTGGCGTTGCAGTACTCACTCAACACGACACACGGCGGCTCCTGTCACTAGAGTGGTAATTCGCAGCTCGGGGTTGACGATGGAAAGGCCAGAAGTGAGGCCAGATGAGACCCGGCGTCCACGATCAATCGCTTCAACTGTACAATTCAACAGGCCAAATTTAGCAATTGCTCTCAACATTTCACTGTGTTCATCGTAGCGGCTTGTGTCAGTCTCTCTCTTCTCCACATATCAAAGTCCCGAGCGCACCTCAGCATTTTCAGCCAAAGTCGGCGGCGCAGCATGCCAGAAAAGAATTGTTCGCTGCCTGCCAGGCTGCCGCAAGCCGAGGCGCACCGCAGCGCAGTCAGTCACTGCCATTTTTACTTTCTGTGCCCTTTCAGCTGGTCTACGGCATAGACGTGGTGCCGCATTAGCCGTGCGCTCGGTCAACTGAAGTTGTGCATACGTCGAGAAGAGAGAGGAGAACAGACGAATCCATGGCGAACGAGCGTGCGTTCTGTCTCCGTCGTCAGCTGTCAGCGAAGGAATGCAGCATCGTGCAAAAGTGAGTGGTTGGCAGAATATCCGCGGAAGAATGATGATCGGTCGGTGGCAGCAAAGGTCCCTTCCCGGGCGGTGGGTGTTTGGGAGTGGGATAAATTTAGCTGAGTCAGCCCCGATTTCGACCGGCCACTTGTGAGACCCACCTCGGCACTCCGAGCTCCCCACCGATGGGCACAGGCACAGGCACCTTCTACCGCGAATAGCTTCAACTAGCCCTGTCCACCTGCCTCTCTTGCAAACCGTCAGTGCTCTTGTCTCAAGCCTACGTAGCCCTGGTTGCTAGGTTACTTCGGACCAGACTTGGCTTTTATGAAGTGTGGGCCCTCGGCTCAACAATCACAAGATTTCGCTGCTCAATGAGATTGCTCTGTCTGTCAAGTGTTTCTCCTCACCTTCTTCGTGCAAGTCCAAGAACTGTTCACACGGCCTCTGCAGGCTTGGCGTCGCTCGTGTTGCGGCTCTTCGCTCGCAGGCGACCTCTCTAACAGACGAAAGTGTGAAGCCTGTCTGCCTCTCAAAATAGCTGACTTTCGTCTGAGATAGCCCCCACTCCGCATGGATGCGTTTCCAGTGTCCCACTTCCTCTCTCTGAGGCATGTTTCAAAATGATATCCCGCGCCGCTATTCGTCGATCTCCCGCCCTGGCAAACCCGCCCAGCAATCTCGCTGCCCAGCTTGCCCTTTCCATCCCACGCCCTGATTCGTCCGCCGTGTTTTGGGACAGCCAGCGCCAACGCAAGAGCCTCTCTCTGATGTTTGTCCGTATCAAACTGCAGCTTGACGAATCCCAAGGCTGATGATGAATTGGGGGTCCATGTCTTTCTCTCTCTGCGAATCCACAACCCACCTCTCCCGTACGGGCCTATCGTATTCCCACTTCTTTTCCCCCTCTCACCCCTCGGGACCGTAGCACCCCGAGCCAAGCCAAGCCCAGACTGCCTGTCAAACCCCCCCGACGAAAAAGATGACGGGAGCCCAGGCCCGGAGGCCCACGTCCAGATCTGGGTTACAGCAGGAGACTTGCATCAAACAAGCAACGCACCCCATCGCAGTATTCGTACCCACCGGCGCTTATTTTGGTAGTCGTGCTGCAGGATATCTCCCGTCTGAGCTTGGCAAGTGTCAAGGGCATGGCTCTTCACCCCGGACCCTCAGACCCGCGCGTCCGGTTGTCATTATAAGTATATCTGACGGCTGCCTTCCCGTGCTATCGATCATGACGACCCTCTAAACTCTGTTTCCTTTTGTCTTTATATCTCCCGAGTGTGTGTGGTGCGTGTCTCCGCAACTCTCTTTTCTCTTCAACCCGCCGGGCTGGTTCCCGTCCTTGCCCGACAGCCGCTATGCAGTTGAAGGGATTTCTTCCTCTGGCCTTCGCTGCACTGGCGGCGGCGGCTGAGCCGCTGGCCGCCGTGCTAAAGACTCACAATGGAACTCTGAGTACGATGAACTGTGAGTAGTAGTATCCCGCATCGTAGGCGGGGAATGGGCCTCACTTACACGAACCGAAATCCAGCTCTGCTCGCCATGGTCCCCGCAGTCAGCGAGTCCCTCTCCACCTCCAAAGACTTCACCATCCTCGCGCCCTCGAACGACGCCTTCACCAAGGCCATGCAGGCCGACCCCACGCTCGCCAAGAAGATGACCAACGTCACCTGGGTCACCGACCTGCTCATGTACCACGTCGTCGCCGGCAAGACCACCTCGGCCGCCTTCTCCTCGAAGCCCAAGTTCGCCAACACCATGTTCGAGACGCCCTTCGCCAACGTCACGGGCACGCAAAAGGTCGAGCTCAACAAGATGGCCGGCAAGGCCGTCGTCTACAGCGGCTTCAAGCAAATGAGCATCGTCGAGACGCCCGACATCACCTTCACCGGCGGCGTGCTGCACGTCATGGACTCGGTGCTGACGTTCCCCGGCACGCCGGCCGAGACGGCTATGAACACGGGCCTGACGAGTATGGCGGGCGCGTTGATGAAGGCGGGCTTGGTGGATGGGGTGGATAGCCTGCAGGCCGCGACTGTGTTTGCGCCGACGAATGCCGCGTTCCAGGCTATCGGGGCGACTGTCACGTCGATGCAGCCGGCGGATCTTGCAAAGGTGCTGCAGTACCACGTCGTTCAGAACCAGGTCCGCTTCAGTACCGGAATTACGACCAAGATGGGGTTCAAGAGCTTGATGGGGGAGAAGGTTACTTTGAGGAAGGAGGAGGGTGTGGTGTATGCCAATTCGGCCAAGGTGTCGGTTGCCAACATCATCACCAGTGATGGCGTTATGCACGTCATTGACAAGTAAGGATTATTTCTCCACCCTCAATCTCTACAGATCTTTGACTAACGTTCTGACAGCGTCCTCAACCCCGCCTCGCCGAAGCTCACCCCCTCCAAGTCCGCCGCGACCTCCCCCCTCGCTTTCAACGGAGCCATCGCTGCCGCCAACGCCCCGTTCGCCGACACGGTAAAGCCGACCGCTAACTTCGTCCTCGCCGTTGAATCGAGCGCGATTAACGTCAAGGTCAACTTTGTTCATGCCGTGCTTGGGTTCCTCGGATGCCTGGCGGTGGTCATGTTGTAAAGCGCGATGGCGGCGACAGGGTTTTCTTTTGTCACGTACAAATCTTATTCCATTCTTTGGGAGCTTCAAGCGAGCATCTTACAATACCAGAGACCTATTACTCAGATATTACTTTTTAATAATTGGAGCGGACTTTCAGAAATACGCCTTGATATAAGAACGTGGTGCTCTGGCACGGTGAGGTTTGTGGTCCCACGGCGTTTACTCATTCTGGACAGCATCCGAAGAGGTTATGAGGAAGCATTGATACAATCAAATATCCCTCAAGCTTCTACTGAGGTTATGGGTGTACTGTCTTTTTAAACTGGCCGAGAACAGTAGCTGTTCATTATCTGGGGATTGTGAATGTTCTGAGGGTTCATTGCACTCCCCCTACCATATTTTCGTACTCCACAGTTCTTGCTCGTTCTCGAAAGCAACAGACCAGCTTTCGAAGGTATATCTGTTCTCAAAATGTATGTCAACAGAAGTATAGATGTACTTCTGCTTTTCCTCGACAGGAACTGCAGCGGTTCGTTGTGTTGGGATTGCAAAGTTCCTGAGAGTTCGCCGCATCTCCACAGTGTCCATGTCTCCGGCTGCCAAGCTCAGGTTGATGGTGTCCAGCACCAACTGATGCTCTCTGTACCCAACAATGGTGTATTGCGTATTCGGTAGTAGTTTGTCAGGTAATTCACTAAACAGGAACATGAATTCTCCGGTCCAGCATTGTCCAGCAAGGCCATCATCGGCAAGCGTGGGGGATTGTACTTGAAGGAGAATTGATCCGAAGATCGACTCTCCAGCAACCGTCATGAATTCGTTCTGTGTGTAGTTCCAACTACCCGACGGCCACGCCTTGACCACTGTACAACCTGAGGGTAACGAAAAGGAGGTCTTGTGCTTGACATTGTTTTTCAAGTTGCAGACCGTCTTATAAGTTGGGTCTATCAAGATGTACGCATCTGGGTAGCGGACCCGGCACACCACGTCCGCTTCCCCATCGCCCGGTAGCTTCACGAGGTTTTGAAAGGTCGGCCTTACAAATCTACCCGGGCTGATCATACGCAGTTTAACGCCAAGAGCGGGCAACTTTTCGAACCCGAATTCATCCTTCACCGTGAATACCACCCCGCCAATGCAAAGCGGCAGTACGTAATCGCTCGACTCATCGTCCGTGCTCCCAGGCAGCACAAACAGTTCGAGGGTCAACTTTACCCCAGCATTGGTGACGCTGACCTCGTTCCCGTCATGCACAATCAGACTTTCGGGTATCGAGTGAAAATTCCCAGGGGCGTCGGCGAACGCGCCGAATGCAGGAACGGGCTGCTTGTTTTCTTCCGGATTGTAGTAATATCTAGTCCATGAGAAGATTGACACATCATATCCGGTTTGTATGATTACCTCCTGGAGCCTACGGAACGCTTTCGCTCCTTCGCCGTAGAGCATCGGCATGTTGACGTTGAAGATGCCCAGAAGACAGTAAGCCTTGTCCTCTTCCCTTGTGGTTTCGCGGTTACTGGCCCACGACATCCGCTCCGCGATGGAGTACTCTCCCGGGTAATAATCATATATGGCCTTGGGGGAGATTCTCGTGACCCTTGTAAGCGCGTCATTCCAATCTTTCTTACTGCCAACAAATTCCCAGTCTTTTTGGTAGAAAAGTATGGAAGACGGTGCGATGAGTTCCTGCAAGGTCCAGCCCCTGTAAAACCAGCGGCATTCGCGCAAGTATGTCCCTAGTAGCATGGCGTCTTGAGGTACGTTTGATGCAGGGAGGCGAAAATCTGACAGGTAGGCGAAGCACACGTGGGCCGTTTCGTACCACCTGTACATGGAGTTGATGGCCTCTGACAGTTCTGTGCTGTTGGACTTGTCGATGCAGCAGGTGTCGATCCAAGCATACAGTATACATTTGCTGGCCGCCAACTGGCATGTCATACGTATTTTGTGGAACCGTTCATCCTGTTGCGCCCCCAACTGTTCCAATCCTGGAGAGTGACTTCCTCGTCTTCCCATGTGTGTGAGAGGATCGCGTGGGAAGGTTTCTCCCGGCCGTAGAAACTTTCCATGGCGAGCGTGGTTGTATGTATTAGCCGCATGATAGATGAGTCGTCGATCGAGAATTTTGTAGAACTGGAAGGATTCGTGTTGCGTGGTTGCCAGTCCTTCTCGGGTCTGTCAGCTCTTGATATCCTATGCCCGTGGGGCCGCGTTAAAAAGAGATATGAGCTTGAACACTGATGCGTGAAATCTGTGAGTCCTACCGACAAATTGGAAGTTACAAATGAACTCAGAAGTAGTCTGCGCTGTTCACTTCTGCGACCGGGCTGCTAGCCTGGCTGTGGTATGGACTGGTAATGGGGGAAGGGGCAGTTAGGTTGATGGAGGTGCTGGAGAAGTTATTAATAGGTGAAGAGCGACCGCAAAATTGTTTAATATGAGTGCACTCTTGGGGAAAACGAAAGCTGTGGGCCGAATCATTTGATCCTGAGCGTTACCTAGCCGCAATATCGGCGGTTGGAGCTAAGCAACTATTGGCAGGTGGCAGGAAGCACTGGGTAGGGAATATAAAGCAATGTTTGAAATGTAAAAGCTAATGCAGAGACACGTGTCCGTGCTGCATGACCTCTGGAATATAGAACGGCGGCAATACTGATCATGCCTGTGATGGGTGCCATCCATTGGTCTGACTGAGGCGTAGTGACATGGAACGAGGCGGCTAATGCAGCCCTGCCAGAAGTTCCATTCCGAGCATGAGAAAGTCGTCAGAGTCGCGACTCCAATTGCCAGCAGCTACTTTTGCGAATCTAGGCCCGCTGCTTTCAAAGAAAAGTAGGGAAAAGAAAACAACAGATGCGAACGACAACAACCTGATCGCAGAGTTTCAACCCCAGCCACAGCCTAGGCTTGTCCCTTTGTATTCCACAACGCAGTAAGTACTTGCACATATCAAAGGCTTGCCTCTTCGCGTCAGTTTCCGAAACCCGTAAAGGGATGTTTGGTCCACGAGCTAATCTCCGTGATTCTCGCGTCCCGATTCCCCTCCTTAAGCTCAACCTTTCCTTCAACAGCAGAGAGAGTCCTGCTTTTACCAAACCTGGGAGCCACTACCAGAAGATGTAACCACTCCCTGTGACACCGATAGACGGGACAAACAATGTTTCCCATCGGGTCTGGCCCTTCCGCTCGAATCAACCGGCGGTCTTCCATATATTTGGGTTCATAGCCTTTCAGAATCTTATCGACGTCTTTATCTGATAGCGCGACATTCCATTTTGCAGTTTGAGGGTATTCGATCGGACAAATAATGTCATCTCGGGTAATCTTGTCGCCATACCTTTCATAACCTGCTTCAGCGTTAAATTCATCCCTCGTTCGAGGACTTAGTTTGATGATTGGTTTGGAGCTCGTTTTGGAGCCATATTCGGGGTCACTTTGAGAAAGATAGCTTGTTTGATGGTAACGAGCTCGAGGCGTGATGAAGGGGCGGTGGCGAGCCTGAGCAGTGGTTGAGGAGCGTTCGGCAGCCGAGAGACCGGACTTGAGAAGTCGTCTGAACATCGTGCGCTTCGATTCCTCTCTTCTCGTCTTCTCAGTGTTTCTTTCTTCCTTCCTCGTTTGTCTTCCTCTCTGTATCATGTTGTACGGTATCCTTGTCGTGGTAGTTAGTTATGACCGCAGTGACGTTGATAGAATAGATTGTGAGATAACGTTGACAATATAGGCGACTATTCTTGCGTATATCTGCAGGCTGCCGGTTTGTTTTACGAGGGAGAGTGTGTTGATTTGGAATCGAAGATGAGGAAAGTTTGGGATGGAGCGCTTGGTATCAAGGCCTCTCATATGTATGGCTACGATAAACTTTACCGTGAAGACTTCTTCAAAAGTAGCTGAGAACCTCGCTGACCACGGTAGTCAGCGTAAGCAGTAGAAGGAACATGTCTCACTGAACATGGCACCGACTGCAGTGCTCATCACCCTGCAATTTTAGCATGGGTACATAACTTCCCAGGGACGACAGAGACGACAGAGACGACAGAGACAACAGAGACAACAGAGACAACAAAGACGATAGAAACGATAGAAACGATAGAAACGATAGAAACGATAGAAACGATAGAAACGATAGAAACGATAGAAACGATAGAAACGATAGAAACGATAGAAACGATAGAAACGATAGAAACGATAGAAACGATAGAAA